TTGTCCATATTGCCATGAGTGTGAACAAATTTTAATCATGGTCCTTTATTACAGGTTTATGCTGGTTTACTTAATACTGTTGGTTCATGGTATTGGTACCCTTATGCCATGGAATATGTTCATCACTGCTGAATCCGTAAGTAATGTGCACAATTGCAGGTATAGGCATGCATGCAGTGCACACACACTCTCACACATTTAATAAGTTCATTCCCATTACTCTTAATCAAATGTTTACGTAAGATCTCACCAATACTGGATTATTTATTCAGACTGTGTTAAATGTTACCCAAACAAAAATATAGTAATGTTAGCATTAAAAAATATACAATTGTCAATCAGATTATGTTTACTTTCAATTTAAGAAGACTTCTGTAAGACATTTATTTTTCATTCCAGTACTTCACGGACTATAAGCTGGCTACCAATGGTAGTGACAGCTCAGAGTACAGGAAAAACTTCATCAGTTATCTTGGAATCACTGCACAGATACCAAATGTGTTGCTGAATTTAATCAATATGTTCTTCCAGTGTGGAGGGTAAGGGAATCTGTCAAGTATATATAAAACCAATTTCACCAAGAACTCTAGCCCAGAAATTGGTCTAAACTTTTACATCAGAAATTTCTTCAACTTCGATTCAAAACATTTGTAGTTTCAGAGTATTCCACTTACATACAGATAAAGTATTGGTTTCAAACATAAGCAGTTCCTTTATTGTTATAAAACTGACATGGTATTTCATTCAATAGGACTAATGCTTATCTTGGCTAGAAGAACAAAGTTTTGGTCTTATTTTGTGGTCCACAAAATAAGACAAAACTTTGGTCTTCTTCTTGCCTGACTCTCATTGCAGTAAGGGCTACAATCTTCCACGCATTCCTGCATCATAGTTCGTGGGATTTCATAAATGTTCTGTCATATCTGGAAATGCCTATACTATTAAAACTCTGTCAATGTGTGCCTGTGTGTTTTGGTGGGTTGATGTCCAGGAAGTGAGTGAGTGAGTGCACACTGAGATGTAAGATGATTGCCTCTGAAACTTTTTATCTACCTATTTTAAAAAATCTTGTTCCCCATCGTAAGGTTTTTATTTATATATTTTCAGTGGTGGCACAACTGTGCGAGTGGTAGTAAGCATTTCAGTCATGGTGGTGTTCTTCATAGTCACAGTAGTACTGGCCATGATTGATACCAGTGAATGTAAGGAGAACATTAATAGTGATATTTAATTAAGGAAGCAGGATTTTCTTTATCTTCCTTTAATTTACAGTTGATACAACATTATTGTGTGAATAAATTTGATACAGAAAAGAAGATAAAGATAAAAAAGATGTAATAAAATGTGTAGGTTACTTATTCAGTTGGTAAAAACATAATAGAAATAGATTTAAGATTAATGTTACATGTCTTTTTATGTACAGACACAGATGTGTCTGTACATATAGCCATCACCTGCGTCTGTCGTCGCCGTCGTTGCCGTGCACTTTTGCCGATAACACGNATGTCACTCTCATCATGTGGATGTCACTCTCATGCTCCTGAAACTGTAATCTTATTGAAGGGGTGGATTGACTGTGCTCACTCTAGTCATTATTTTTGATTAGCAAAAGTTGCTAAAGGGTACAAATTTCTATTAGCATTTTCTTATTTCAATTAGCAAAATTTGAAAGTTGAAAAATACCACTACTCATCAGCTTTTATGCTAAACTCACATGATGAAGGAAGACACTGGACAGCATTACAACGCAAAATTTAATTATAAAACAGACTAAATGTGTAAGTTAATGTAAGTAATATTTTAAGAAAAGCTTATGCATGCCTTTGCAATATTAGGTAGAAACCAAGATCCAAGTTTATACTGTTGTACCCAACAGGTCTTAATCACAGTCAAAGAAAGACCTAGTTCATATGTCACTTTATTCCCAGGTTACATCAGCATATGCATTATATAATTATTACACAAAAACAATTTAAAACCAACATTTTGCACTATTTCATTTCAACACATTGCAAGTAATCTGAAAAAAAAAATAAAATACAGAAAATGTACAGAGCTTCAGGGTGATGGGAGTTAGATGTCACATCTTGAAGATGCCAGTGTTTGAAAAGTAAAATATAATAACAAAGAAAAGGATAACATCAAAAATATTCCAATACAGCTGCATTCAAACTTTTAATCTAGCTGCATTAACATGATATGAATAATCCCACTGAGTTGGAGGATAATAAGGCACTGTAATTCATCTATAGCATTAATGTTGACATTACACAAAAATGATTTCAATTTCTAATGTGCATCTAGACTCCATGTTGGTAATTGTCACAAGGTCATCAGATAAGTCTAGAAGTGGCCCACCTACTGGTTCATAGTATTGAGAAGGCTGCTCTGTTAGAGGTATTCTAGTAGCTGTGGTGAAAAATGATTCTATTCTGCACTGCTTATTAGAAGAAGCAATCCTTTTCTGTGCCTTGAAAAACTTACTACTTGATAACAATGAAAAATGGTCAATCTTCAAATTCATCAGGATCACAAATGTAACGGCAACTGAAACTGCAAAATAAATATAATTGTACAAAATTGTACACATGGCTTATTAACTTTCCAATCATGATAATATTATATCGATTTAATCATAATGTTCCCCACACAAAAATAAATCAAGAACGCACTTATGTCGCTAAACATTGTGGTGAGCACGGCATCGATCGTCACGTGGTCGTGTAAGCATTTCTAGAAGAAAAATATTATTTTTTCTTTGGATACAACAAACTGTTAAAGAAAAATAAATTTACCAAAATTCTCATTAATACAAGATTATACGACAATTAGTCACCCGAAGACAGGAACTAATTAGAAGACAGAATACGTGGACCATTATAAACCTTTCACTGTTGAAAGTAACTAATTAACTTACACCAAAATAAGCTCCAACTGCTGAAAAGTTATTCATTCACTTTTTATTTTACATTCCAAAGCTTAAATTTTGTATGTAATACAATTTTGTTTACATATCAGATAAAAAAATCACCTTACCTTTTCAAAAATCTTTGAAAGCATTGCCACATCGTTCTCTGCGGATCATATTTTGAGCGCCATGTGCTGACTGCTAGTGCGGGCTATCCCGCACTGAAAATTTGGTTGCCTAATTCCGTTAGTCATATGGGTGTGGAATGATTATTATACATACATTTATTTATTATTTTCTTAATCGTTTTAATTTTATTTTCACACCTACAAGGCTAGAATGTACATCACACGACTCGGAGCATCGTCTCTAAATTGTTGCCTCGTTTTCAATTAGTCTTTTTGCACGAAACGGAGGCATCTATATATACACTTTCACTTGGACGCAGGCAACGATGTAAACAACGATGTAAGCGTGGTGACTTCTATTTTTTAATGCAAAACCAAAGCAAACGCACTGAAAGGTGATTAACATTTTATTGTATTAAAAACAGTTTCGCAAAATTTGCGAACGAGTAACATTTTGTTTTCGCATTTCTGAAATGCAATTCGCTATAGCGAACTTTGCGAGCGTCTAGCGTGAGCCCAGATTGAGACAATCTTCTGGGTCTCCTGGAAGACAGTCAGATTTTAAAGTTTATATTAACCGGTTTCTGTTGGAAGACCATCAAAATGGAGGATGGATCAACAAGGATACTTTGGAATACTGTCAGAAAATATCTCTGGATCTGCATCTGTTAGTGACCATGTTACCTGTTGTGCATGATTATAAATTAGCGTTGACTGACTGTGCTATAATAAGCATACATTATTGCAACAAAATTGACAAAATGACCTATTTTGCATCTTTTTTTTTCTGTTTTTTGTCTGTACATTTGACAGCTTTGCTGCCTTGTTTTCTTTTATGTAACATGGTATTTTTTTACTTTGTGAGAATTAAAGAATATGTGCACATGATTATTTCTTTTGATGCTCTTTTATAAAAAATGACCCAAAATTTTCAGCATCCTACTACATTATTTTTTCCTCAGTAGTTTACTAGAAGCAGTAAATTTTCTTTGTATTGATGAGAAAAGAAAATATTACCTTAAAGTCATAATAACTCTTCGTTTTGGCCAAAAATACGATTTTCCTGGAAAAAACGGCAATTTTCCCGTACTTACCAATGGTCAACGACCCCATTCCTGCATTCAAAGTTAATCCAGGGTTTTTTTCCTAAACGTACGTTTTTTTGTTAAAATCTCTTAAGAGATTTTAACTGACGGAGCCCTCTGGTATCGAGCGATAGTTTCTGGTGACCTACTTAAAACCGCGGGAAAAGCAGACAACAACACTATATAACAATATTATAAGATTCATAAGATAAATTCGTCTTTTTTCCTCAAAATGCATTTATATCTACAATGTGTGCAATTCTGGGCTTTTCGTTATCCGACGCACTGTACAAAAACTCGCAACTTACGTCTGAGGGTTTCCCGCCATGTTATTTTGGTCTCGAATGAACGCGAGAATCAGCGTGACACCTAAATGTCATTGGCAACGGATGCACTTGTTGACCACGAAGAAAGGCACGAAAGCCCATGTGACAAGCACAGATTTTAGTTTTACTACAATAACAGTCGTTTTAGTGGGAAAATGCAACAGAATATATTTCCAGGCGTTGCTTACAATGTATTTCTTGCGGAATTTTGAATCTCAAGGGAAGAGTTATTATTGCTTTAAGTTGTGCTCTTTTCCATGCCTATGTACTACATATGTAAAAAATGAATTAAGCAGGAAAAATTTCCCATGGCTTACTTGGTGTATTAAGAGTTATTTTTATAACCACACAGTATTACATTTAGAAAGATCAACTTCATAAAGAATCAGATTTGTTGTCAGATTCACTAACTTCCTCTACGAAGGCTTGATTGAAAATTCACCACAGTGAGTGTCTTTGTACCCAATCTATCCAAGTCAAGACAGAACTCTTCTTACAAACAACTGGATGCACCAAAAATGGCCTGTCATTACATTTGTTATTCACTTTACAGAAGTCGGCAGCTCATCTGAGAGGGAGGCCTTTCTCCCCCAAGTCACAGCCATTGATCCAGATGATGGTGAGGTGTCTCGAAGTAATGGGAAAGTGCATGCCTTTGAGTTGGAAGAACCCAGTGCTCCAACAGACAAGTAAGAACTGCGACTTTTGACCTATTTTTAATTAACTTAATTGCATAATTATAATTATCAAATTGTCTTAAATTGTTGCATTTCGGGTTTTGGTGAGCAGAGTCCTTTGCAGTGATGTTTATCCAGTAGAAAACTAATGGTGTTCTTTTAAATATTTTTAGGCTAAGGTTTTGATTTTGCACTTTACCCTGACAGTGACAGACTGACATATTTACCATAGCTAAGATGACAGTGTAAAAAGAAAATTTTTACTATTTATATGATTTGTCCATATTGCCATGAGTGTGAACAAATTTTAATCATGGTCCTTTATTACAGGTTTATGCTGGTTTACTTAATACTGTTGGTTCATGGTATTGGTACCCTTATGCCATGGAATATGTTCATCACTGCTGAATCCGTAAGTAATGTGCACAATTGCAGGTATAGGCATGCATGCAGTGCACACACACTCTCACACATTTAATAAGTTCATTCCCATTACTCTTAATCAAATGTTTACGTAAGATCTCAGCAATACTGGATTATTTATTCAGACTGTGTTAAATGTTACCCAAACAAAAATATAGTAATGTTAGCATTAAAAAATATACAATTGTCAATCAGATTATGTTTACTTTCAATTTAAGAAGACTTCTGTAAGACATTTATTTTTCATTCCAGTACTTCACAGACTATAAGCTAGCTACCAATGGTAGTGACAGCTCAGAGTACAGGAAAAACTTCATCAGTTATCTTGGAATCACTGCACAGATACCCAATGTGTTGCTGAATTTAATCAATATGTTCTTCCAGTGTGGAGGGTAAGGGAATCTGTCACGTATATATAAAACCAATTTCACCAAGAACTCTAGCCCAGAAATTGGTCTAAACTTTTACATCGGAAATTTCTTCAACTTCGATTCAAAACATTTGTAGTTTCAAAGTATTCCACTTACATACAGATAAAGTATTGGTTTCAAACATAAGCAGTTCCTTTATTGTTATAAAACTGACATGGTATTTCATTCAATAGGACTAATGCTTATCTTGGCTAGAAGAACAAAGTTTTGGTCTTATTTTGTGGTCCACAAAATAAGACAAAAACTTTGGTCTTCTTCTTGCCTGACTCTCATTGCAGTAAGGGCTACAATCTTCCATGCATTCCTGCATCATAGTTCGTGGGATTTCATAAATGTTCCGTCATATCTGGAAATGCCTATACTATTAAAACTCTGTCAATGTGTGCCTGTGTGTTTTGGTGGGTTGATGTCCAGGAAGTGAGTGAGTGAGTGCACACTGAGATGTAAGATGATTGCCTCTGAAACTTTTTATCTACCTATTTTAAAAAATCTTGTTTCCCATCATTAAGTTTTTATTTATGTATTTTCAGTGGTGGCACAACTGTGCGAGTGGTAGTAAGCATTTCAGTCATGGTGGTGTTCTTCATAGTCACAGTAGTACTGGCCATGATTGATACCAGTGAATGTAAGGAGAACATTAATAGTGATATTTAATTAAGGAAGCAGGATTTTCTTAATCTTCCTTTAATTTACAGTTGATACAACATTATTGTGTGAATAAATTTGATACAGAAAAGAAGATAAAGATGAAAAAGATGTAATTAAATGTGTAGGTTACTTATTCAATTGGTAAAAACATAATAGAAATAGATTTAAGATTAATGTTACGTGTCTTTTTTATTAATATATCTTGATTATTTACAGGGCCAGGGGTATTTTTTGCTGTTACCATGGGGACTGTTGTCATCATCAACAGTAAGTACAACATAGTTTTATGTTGAAATAAATAGATGTAATATAGCTGTTGGTGGGATTTGTCAACATTATAGGAACTTTGATTACCGAGTTTTAGTTTGTAAGAAAGATTTCAATGTTTGCCTACAAAAACTATTGAAAAGAAAGCCTACTGAGCAACAGTTTGATGTGAAATTGTGTCCAGTTTGTGTCTGGAAAAACTAAAAGAAAGAACACCTATTGTTTAATAAAAAAACTGATATTTTCTTTTGCTGTGTTGTTTCAGTGGCAACAGGGGTATACCAGAACAGTATCTATGGCCTTGCAGCTAATCTTCCCATGAAATATACCAATGCTGTTGTCTTAGGCTCTGTAAGCATTTACTCAGTATTTTTACAGTTTTTAAGTTTCAAGTTACAGCTCATGTTTATGGCTGTTTTTATGAAGCTGTTCGTAATTGAAAGCTTGTACATGAAAGATGGATAGATTGTACTGTTACATAGTGTAGTGCCAGCACCATTTTAAAAAAATCCAGAACATGTTTTCTTGAATCTTGTATGTTCAGATAGCAAGATTCTCTTTCTCAAAGATGTATTGCTGTTTAAAAGATCATGTAATATAAACCCCTTGTCTAAAGAAACATTTTTAAAATTCTAAATGAAACCTAAGGCATGCATGTAATAGTTTACTTGACTTAATACAAGTAAAGAAATAAGTGGTCTTTAAATTATGTGTATAGTCAAGTTGGCCTTTGAACAAGACGAAATTAACAGTAAGCTTTAAGCTTTAAACGTGGATAGCACCCTAAATTTTGTTAAATTAATGTATTTCTTCATGCGATATCCATGTAAATAAACCAATTACTTTAAGGGATTTACTTCAGCTATTAGACTAGTTAGTGTAAAATTTCTTATCCAGACTAGTAACATTTCACATCTATTTTTAGAATACAAGTGGAACTCTTACATCTGTAATATCCATCCTTGCTCTTGCAGGTAAGTTTTGAAATATATGGATTTAAATCTTGTTGTTGACTGATTGAATGTGTACTTCACGTGTTGAAATAGTTGCTGTAGTAAGTGCCCTGTGACCTGCAGACAGTTATTTGGCACTCTTCGAGTGTTACTGTGATAGATAAACCACCTCATTTTATGGTTTTTATGTTTTTATGGGATTGTAAAATATTTGATTCATTCAAGATTTTGCATGTTTTTTCAGGCACTCCAGATCCCAGAACATCTGCCATCTATTACTTCGTGGCTGCCATCATTGTACTGCTGATTGCATTTGATACCTTCTTTGCATTGCCACTTTTGGTGAGGGAAAGTTGGCTGTACATTTATGTCATTTTTAGTGATATAATGCATATTGTAACTGGTGTATGATTTTGTCCTCTAAATTAGAAAAAATATTTTATCATTATTACCATTATTATTGTTGTTGTTGTTATTATTATTATATTATTACTGAATACTTATACCATAATTTAAATATTTTATTTCTTTTTATCAGAAATTTTATCGTTACTACCACACTCAAGGCGTGGAGGCGCTTCATGAAGAGGAACACAAACATCATAGGTCAAGGCCACCATATTGGAAAGTATTCAAAAAGGTATTTCATACATGTACAACAATTTCAGCATTAATCAATATATGTAAACCATCATTTGATGTGCTTAGAGATAATAGCCATCCAGACTTATTTGAAAATCCAAATATTTTTTTTTTAAATCATAAAATTTTTTCGGGACACCATGTCCCCTCACCTACGTATGTATTGTTATTTTCAAAAAAATTTTAAAAGGTCCACTTTCAACCCTGTGTACAGCACCCATTAGAATTGTGGTAGTGGTTGGGTAAAATACATAAATAAGTCCTATATTGTATTATTATACCAAAAACAAAAAATCATGGTGTCTTTTGCATTAGAGGTATATGCTTAGTGTATGGCAATATTTCATAAGTCGTATATTATTTTCTCCAGGTTTGGGTACAGCTGTTCAATGTTTGGTTTGTGTTCTTTGTGTCACTGACATGCTTTCCTTCCATCCAAGTCAATGTGGAGATGTTAGACGAAAACTTCATGAACCGTAAGTATTTAGTAGAACTGATGTGCTTTAATGTAACAAGTTTGGTAAGAAAAAATAATAGTGGCAGGGTTTTTCAAAACTTTTTTTCGCAGTTTTAAGAAAAGGTTTCCTTCCAACTGATTGCATTGNACATTTGATAGCTTTGCTGCCTTGTTTATTAATATATCTTGATTATTTACAGGGCCAGGGGTATTTTTTGCTGTTACCATGGGGACTGTTGTCATCATCAACAGTAAGTAAAACAGTTGAAATAAATAGATGTAATATAGCTGTTGGTGGGATTTCTCAAACTTATAGGAACTTTGATTACCGAGTTTTAGTTTATAAGAAAGATTTCAATATTGCCTACAAAAACTATTGAAAAGAAAGCCTACTGAGCAACAGTTTGATGTGAAATTGTGTCCAGTTTGTGTCTGGAAAAACTAAAAGAAAGAACACCTATTGTTTAATAAAAAAACTCATATTTTCTTTTGCTGTGTTGTTTCAGTGGCAACAGGGGTATACCAGAACAGTATCTATGGCCTTGCAGCTAATCTTCCCATGAAATATACCAATGCTGTTGTCTTAGGCTCTGTGAGCATTTACTCAGTATTTTTACAGTTTTTAAGTTTCAAGTTACAGCTCATGTTTATGGCTGTTTTTATGAATCTGTTTGTAATTGAAAGCTTGTACTTGAAAGATTGATAGATTGTTTTGTTACATAGTGTAGTGCCAGCACCATTAAAAAAAAACTAGAACGTTGTCTTGAATCTTGTGTGTTCAGATAGCAAGATTCTCTTTCTCAAAGATGTATTGCTGTTTAAAAGATCACATAATATAAACCCCTTGTCAAAAGAAACATTTTTAAAATTCTAAATGAAACCTTAGGCAAGCATGTAATAGTTTACTTGACTTAATACAAGTAAAGAAATAAGTGGTATTTAAATTATGTGTATAGTCAAGTTGCGCGTACTTGGCCTTTGAACAAGACGAAATTAACAGTAGGCTTTAAACGTGGAGAGCACCCTAAATTTTGTTAAATTAATGTATTTCTTCATGCGATATCCATGTAAGTAAACCAATCACTTTAAGGGATTTACTTCAGCTATTAGACTAGTTAGTGTAAAATTTCTTATCCAGACTAGTAACATTTCACATCTATTTTTAGAATACAAGTGGAACTCTTACATCTGTAATATCCATCCTTGCTCTTGCAGGTAAGTTTTGAAATATATGGATTTAAGTCTTGTTGTTGACTGATTGAATGTGTACTTCACGTGTTGAAATAGTTGGTGTAGTAAGTGCCCTGTGACCTGTGACCTGCAGACAGTTATTTGGCACTCTTCGAGTGTTACTGTGATAGATAAACCACCTCATTTTATGGTTTTGACGTTTTTATGGGATTGTAAAATATTTGGTTCATTCAAGATTTTGCATGTTTTTTCAGGCACTCCAGATCCCAGAACATCTGCCATCTATTACTTCGTGGCTGCCATCATTGTACTGCTGATTGCATTTGATACCTTCTTTGCATTGCCACTTTTGGTGAGGGAAAGTTGGCTGTACATTGATGTCATTTTTAGTGATATAATGCATATTGTAACTGGTGTATGATTTTGTCCTCTAAATTAGAAAAAATATATTATCATTATTACTATTATTATTGTTGTTGTTGTTGTTGTTATTATTATTTATATTATTACTGAATACTTAATACCATAATTTAAATATTTTATTTCTTTTTATCAGAAATTTTATCGTTACTACCACACTCAAGGCGTGGAGGCGCTTCATGAAGAGGAACACAAACATCATAGGTCAAGGCCTCCATATTGGAAAGTATTCAAAAAGGTATTTCATACATGTACAACAATTTCAGCATTAATCAATATATGTAAACCATCATTTGATGTACTTAGAGATAATAGCCATCCAGACTTATTTGAAAATCCAAATATTTTTTAAAAAAATCATAAAATTTTTTCGGGACACCATGTCCTCTCACCTACGTATGTATTGTTATTTTCAAAAAAATTTTAAAAGGTCCACTTTCAACCCTGTGTACAGCACTCTTGCATATGATTATTTAAGTATTCATTCATAGTGGTTGGGTAAAATACATAAATAAGTCCTATATTGTATTATTATACCAAAAACAAAAAAAACATGGTGTCTTTTGCATTAGAGGTATATGCTTAGTGCATGGTAATATTTCATAAGTCGTATATTATTTTCTCCAGGTTTGGGTACAGCTGTTCAATGTTTGGTTTGTGTTCTTTGTGTCACTGACATGCTTTCCTTCCATCCAAGTCAATGTGGAGATGTTAGACGAAAACTTCATGAACCGTAAGTATTTAGTAGAACTGATGTGCTTTAATGTAACAAGATTAATAGTGGCAGGGTTTTTCAAAACTTTTTTTCACAGTTTTAAGAAAAGTTTTCCTTCCAACTGATTGCATTTTTTTAAGTTCATATCTTTGCTTCACTTCAGTCAGCTGTTTTCTGCCCCAGATATACTTCACTGTAGTGTTTAAGATATTCTTTATTGGACTAACAGGTTGAATATTCTTATTCCAGCTCGTTATTTCACACCAGTCACCTGTTTTCTGTTCTTCAATGCCTTTGCCATGATGGGGAATCTCACAACAGAGTGGATAAAGAAGGTATGGTGTGTGCTGTTATTTCAAGGAGCTACTTAATTAGTTACTAGATTATGTGCTCCACATTTTTATCTAATTAGCTTTAGCAAAAAAAAAAGGTAGACTTTAAATTTAGGATATAACAAACACAGTTATCATTTTTAATGTCCACAAGTTCCAAGCCAGGTAGTTTTGTTATAGGTGACACAGAACTTTAATCATTGGACTATAATTTTTCAGCCTGGACCCAAGTGGGTGTGGATCCCAATAGTACTTAGAGTCCTGTTCATCCCTTTCTTCTTAATGTGTAACTACCGCCCAGAACACAGGTCCTTCCCAGTGATCATAGGCAATGACTATGTCTACTGTTTAGGGGGAATCATCATGGCATTTACCAGTGGCTACTTCAGCAGTCTGTGCATGATGTATGCTCCACAGTAAGTAGAAAGTTTTCATTTCTGACCAGGTACATTGTTTTGAAAATTTAATTGATGGTTGCCATTGTTTTGAAAATTGAAGTGATGGTTGCATGTAGAAATAATAAACCAAAATTCATCAGTCTTGACTATAAAAAAGTAATGTAGATGTCTCTTTCTTAGATTTTTAACCTTTTGAAATTTATGTAATGAAAGTGATGTGGTCCAGCTGCCTTCTTGTCAGGTGTTAGTTTCTCATATAGTGTCAACTTTTTTTTCATTTGCTTTATACTGTATAATGAAATATATGTTAAAATAAACTGAACTAATTACAGTTTCACATTCTACAACAGTTCCTGTAGCAATGCTATATATTCTGAAAGAGAAGTTTTGTTCCCTCATTATTGTACTCTTTCCAGCTAACAGTTGCACTACATTGATATAATAAGTTTCTCTCTCTCTCTCTCTCTCATAAAGTAAAAATAGCACACTTTGTTTTAAATTGTTTTTTCCTCTCCTTTAGTCAAGTGGGTCCAGAGTTTGCAGGCACTGCTGGAATGATGGCAGCATTTTTCCTGGTATTCGGCATCTTCAGTGGTGTCAACTTTTCACTGTTTGTTGCTTGGCTGGTAGAGGCTATTCATGTTGACTGAGGAAGAAATGCCAAGAAGGCAGTCATGTTTATTTAGAATGGGAAGAAATCTCTGCTTGCTTTATAGAAAGGCTTAGTTTACCATGATGGTGTTCAAGTTTTTCAATTTTCATCTGGGACTACTACCAAAACCTCAGTTTAAGTAAGACAGGTGAAAGGGGTCTTCCATTTTCTTTTTCATTTTAAGGTATACCTGGGAAACGGGTACACAATCAGAAATGCCCAGTGAGAGTCTTTTTACACATATCATTGAGTGTTCATGTTTTAAAAGCTCTATTTCCATTACATAATGAGCAATGCAAGTTTTTTTTTTTTTTTTTTTTTTATATTATTAAAATGCCAAATGTATACATTTATGCAATGATTAAATCCTCTGAATAACACTAAAAGAAGTTCATTGAAGAGCCTATTGAGAAGTTGCAGTGTGGTTTTCCATATTTAAGTTGCTATGCATATTGTGATCTTCCAATTTCTTACTTGTATTTTTGTAATGCATGGTCATATGCAGATAGATCAACATGAAAATGGAGGACATGTTATGCAACAATTAAGTTGTCATTTATCATATACTGCTTAAGAAAAGCAAGATGCTGTCAAGATATTTTTTCTAGCCTTATAATTAGCTGGTAATNTTATTAAAATGCCAAATGTATACATTTATGCAATGATTAAATCCTCTGAATAACACTAAAAGAAGTTCATTGAAGAGCCTATTGAGAAGTTGCAGTGTGGTTTTCCATATTTAAGTTGCTATGCATATTGTGATCTTCCAATTTCTTACTTGTATTTTTGTAATGCATGGTCATATGCAGATAGATCAACATGAAAATGGAGGACATGTTATGCAACAATTAAGTTGTCATTTATCATATACTGCTTAAGAAAAGCAAGATGCTGTCAAGATATTTTTTCTAGCCTTATAATTAGCTGGTAATGCAAAGCGAAAATGCATTTCAAGTGTACATTGTTAGTTTTTTCTCTTGGAACCATTGTGTCTGCTTTATGGTGGAAGATATGATTTATTAATATGCAATTTTGGCATAATGTTATTTAACAGCTTTATGTAGAACTAAATGTACACTCTCACCCAGTGGGTGAAAACAGCAATTATTTAAGTTCTTTTTTTTTTTAACAGATAAAACTTGTTGATATTATTGATTGTTAATCCTTGTTGTTTTTTCTTTGTGCTGATACTTGAGTAGCATGTTGTGTTTTCTATTTACTTATGTTGTAGTGTACTTGTGATTGTTTTATGAGAATATTATGCTTTATACTAAATTACAAGTAGTGGAGTCGGTGTGTTTCACCATTTCTTAATATGCGTCTTCTATTGGATTTTGTGAACCACATTTAGAATAATACTAAGTCAGAAACCTGGAGGCAGAGTATATGCCAGTGGGGTAATAAATGTCTCAAGTGTATTAGTAAAATACACTATACATCCAAAGAAAACACTGAAGTCTTATTGAAGGTCAGATTTCAATAGTATTTGATATATTGGAGTGAAAAGAAGACATTTTATTAAGAGGAGAAAAAGTTTTAAATTTTCTGAAAATCTTGCTCTCTTGTGATTTGGCAGCTATCAGTTAAGCAGTATTTGGTTGCAATTTTACACATTTGAATTAACATTTTAATTATATGTTAATAATTTATATTAATATGGTTAATATCCGAATGAGTGTTAAATCAATCATAAAGAATATGGAGAATGATCAAAATACTGAAGTATCAAAATATCTGAAACATGTTAGTTTCCTTTCACACTCCTTATTTAATTATTTTTAATTTCTTTTATTTATTTTTTACAATTTTTACAATAGACATTAATTCAAAATTGACCTTGGCCATTATTGTTTCTGGTCAGGTTTAAAGTTGTACCATTTACCAAGTCAACACTGACAATTTATAGTCAAGTGAAGACCTGGTCAATTTTGAGCAATATTATTTTACCTTTTTATTATTTTATGCCAATTAATGTCACTTATATTATGTTGTTTCTTTTTCCTATGCAATAAAGTGTTCTGTCCCAGGTTATGTTATTTACAAAGAATTTACCTAGTAAGAGTTAAAAAGAATATTGTTTTTCATTTATCAATATTTTTCCCAGTAAGAGTTTAGGAGAGGATAGCTTTCCATTAGTGTCAATTTATATATTTTATCAAATTATTTGTGAATTCTGGATTTCCAAGTTTATCAATTTCAAAGAAAAACATTAAGAATATAGTATTAATAGGTCATAGCCTACTGATCATTCTTTTTATTAATACACACTATACTTTGATTACATTTGTATATGTAGCAAAGGACGTGTTCATAATGTATACAAACAGTAATGTAGCTGTGCATGTTACGCACACATCTGCACAAGAAATTGCACCATGAACTAGGTTCAAGTAAAAAACATTGTATTCATCTTATGAATATAGAATCTTTGGATCAGTGAGAATTCTAATCATGGCAGGATATATTTATATATATATCCTTGCAAGAATCTTAGTATTTTGAGCAAATCTGTGCCATCAAATATTTTTACCTTGGGGACCAAGTGTATGCACTTTACAGAGTTTTTATGTGTAGGCTTGATAACCATCTGTAGCCTTGAATTTGTTGACTAGTAGTGATTCTCATAACTATGCAAGTAAGTAGCTGTTTATCTTGTCTTTTTTATTTTTTATTTTGTCATTTCCATGGTTCCTTCAACTATGTTACGAAAATAAACTTGTTCTCGGACAAAAAATTCAAGCACTTTTTCACTTGTCCCCGAGCTGTATGTTATGTCTGTACCAGAAAAGATGTTCCTCCTGAAAGTTGCTTTAAACAGTGGGGCCAAAATTTTAGAATATGAAATTTTTCATTGGTTCTTTAGAAAGAAAATAATGGCCATTTCAGACTGACAATAAAATTGCATCTGCAAATGAGTTTACTGAATATCAAATTGGGAAACCATAAGTGAAATCAAGCAAATTTTGCAGGATTCTGAGGCAAGTGGGGTTGAAAAGATGACTGACTAAAAATTGGCAACAAGTTAAATAGCAGAATTTATCAATGAATATTTTTGCAGATTATATTTACTAAAGTTCTGTCAATTTATGGTCTTATACTATTTAACTACACTGTGACTTCTGCACTTTTTTCAAAAACTTTTGTATTGCTTTCTAATACACATTCAGCGTAGTTTCACCCCTATTGCTGAAAAGTTTACATCACCTCATGCAGAATTTTGCATTTTCCAGTATAGGATGATGACATGCCGTTCCAGCCCTCATCATTTCCATTGAAGTAAATCAAAAATTTGGTTCTCATATTAGGAATATCTAAATTTATTTAATGAAACTGGAAAAGTTATACTGTCAAAAGTTACCATTCAGACATTTTCTAATTTTAACACTCAATCTGATCTGACAAACAAAACCTTGCCCACTATCTTCAATGATGGACAACAGACATGCTGAAACTGTTGGTCCGACTGGTCATGACCGGGAAAATTTGTCTGGACCGGTAGAAATTGAACTTGGTCAGTCCAAAGGTATGGGCGGTGGTTTATACAAAAATGCAAAACACGATTAGTCGTCATCGTTATCAGATCAGTCGAAATGAAAACACGATTAGTCGTCGTCGTTATCAGATCAGAAGGCAAAATACGACTAGTAGTCGTCAAAACGCAACTAGTCATCAAAACGCAACTAGTCATCATCAAAACGCAACTTGTCATCATCAAAACGCAACTTGTCATCAAAACGCGATTTGACGCCAGATGGCGCCCATTGTACGAAAATCTAGGCCAAGTCACATGATCCACAGTGATCAAAATGGCGGACGTTATTGAAGCAGCATTATCATATTCCTCGCTCGAACTCGAGAATTATCTCGAGTTCGAGATATTATTATATATATAATATCATTATTAGATTGTACGCGTAGAGATAATTCTCGAAATAATAAATAATTAAATAATTTATTAAATAATTTGGACATGTTATAAATTAAAAAAAAACAAAAACACACACTTGTGAAGCACTGCTTTATTGTTGTACTCATTTCACAAGTTCCAGATATTATTATATATATAATATCATTATTAGATTGTACGCGTAGAGATAATTCTCGAGTTTGAGCGAGGAATATGATAATGCTGCTTCAATAACGTCCGCCATTTTGATCACTGTGGATCAAATCGCGTTTTGATGACAAGTTGCGTTTTGATGACTAGTTGCGTTTTGACGACTACTAGTCGTATTTTGCCTTCTGATCTGATAACGACGACAACTAATCGTGTTTTCATTTCGACTGATCTGATAACGATGATGACTAATCGTGTTTTGCATTTTTGTATAAACCGCCGCCCATACAAAGGACCGGCAAGTTTTAAGAACTGCAATTTTGAATATACAGTCATCTTTCGACATACTTCACTAACAAAATTACATAAAAGCCAAACCGTTTTTTCCCTTCCATTTCATAACTATCACATTCACAAACAAAGTAAGCTACCTAATTGCACTGGTAGTATCTGTTTCAAACAAATAGGGTGATTTTCGGTCCGACAAAAATCCATTCGGTCCGGCAATTTTTCATTACTGCCCGTCCAAATGTCCGGCCATTCTGAATAGTTTTCAGCATGTCTGGGACAATACTGGGAAGCTTTTGATTCAATGCCATTAAGAGCCTCATTATTTCAACTGATCCATTTGATTTGAAACAAAAGGAGGCAAGTGCCAACTCTTTCTTTTTCATTAAATTCATTGTCCTTCATTTTCATTGAGATTAGACAAAATGAAACCAAGATGTTCATTGACAATACTATTCAAATCCTTAGAAATGTTCATAAGAATGCGAAAGTTCTCTTTCTGACTGAGGACCCCTGTAGGCATAGCCAGTACATCAGATATAGTCTTTTGAACCTGGCTGATTTTCTGAAACATGTCCACATCTAAAGGCATTGGCACAAGCTTACACAGCTCTGTGAAGTTAGCAAGCCAGTTGTAATATTCCTGACTATCAAAATTGGGATTATTTACAAAATCTACTGTAGAAGTTGCTGCTTCTGATTGTTCTGGCTCTTGCTGCTGGAGCTGCTCTTGACAAGTATTCTGTTCACTTCCTTCCTCCACATTATTCTCATCAACCACACTGGTTTGTTGCTTTATTTCCCCTGCTACCTGTTGGTCTTGGTTAGGATCAGACTGTTGTTCAATCTGCTCCTGATGTTCTGGCTCTTCAATAGGTGTCTCCACTGTGCTGGTGTTAATAGAAGCTTCAGGGTCTCCCCCTCCTACATTGGCCTCTTTCAATTCTGGCTCTCTATCCTGTTTTTCTGATGACGTGCCCTCAGAAGATATCACATTTTCTGTCTCAGCAGACTCCATTCCTCTGACTAACATTGGAGTCCCATCTTCACTCTGGATTAACAAAAATTCCTGAGGTCCTGTGTGGTTGACCTGTTCAGCTAAAGTTTTCACAATATCTATGAAGTCAACAGCATGCTGGTGTTGGCTGTCTGCCTGTTCGGCCTGAATAACCTGCCCACTGCTGCTCTCTGTGTTTGATAACTGTACAGTGGTGCCATCTACAAACTGCACAACTTGACCAGGGAACTCGTCAGATGTAGTCTCACTGGTCACATGTCCAACACTGGCAGCCGTCCCAGGCCCTTGCAAATGACGCACAATTTTTCGCTGATGGTCTAAAGATCTGGAGTCCACTAATGCTATCACTTCTCCTAATCCTGTGGCTGTTCTGTTAGAGTCTGGGAATGTGAGCTGTAGCGAGTTGTTAGGGCCACGTGTTATCTTGAGAGGTTTCTCTGCAGCATGCTTGCGACTCAGATGGGCCTTCAGCTGGCCAGCTCGTTTAAACAGCTCTGAACAGAGGTGACACCTAAAAGAAATATACCATATGCCAATAGTAAGTTTTTTATCAGTTGTGCAACTGAAATACCACCAATATAACTCTCTAGAAATTTAGCTGTTATTACTCTAGAAATTAAGTTGTTAAAAAAAACGATTAGTTTATACTTGGATCAACCCATTTATTTCAGAGGAAGAAAGTTTGGGATCATTTGAAATAGTTTTGTTGCAAGCTGACACTTTAATTTGCACTTAAATGTTAAGGCAAGTTATAATTTTTTTCATTATTGCAAACATACATAAATTTTACCTTTTACTGGCAATTTACAAAATACATAACGATCTTTCTCCTTCCAGCTCAAGGGAAAAAGTTGTCAGATCATATTTCACCTCTGAAATCTAAAATCACATACTTACTTGTAAGGTTTAGATCCAGTGTGCTCTTTCACATGCCTACGTCTGCTGGAGGAGTCACTAAACCTTGCTCCACATTCCTCACATGCATAAGGCTTTTCTCCTGAAAAGAGGAAGAAATTGATTTAAGTCAATATAAAACATTCTCAGGGATGAGATTGACATTTAATGAAAAAGTCAGAAAATATGGCATGGGGTCCAGAGGGCTGCCTAGGCCAAAGATAATTTTGGACCTTAAATAGCTGGAAATCCATCAAAAGTCAGAATAAATCTTTTCCCTGCATTCTGTTAAGAAGAAGAGCACTGAACAGTTTCATTCTATTTTTAAACAGTATATATTTTTGCATTAAAAGAAGTTTTGTGATTGAATGCCTGTTGGCATTACATGGCTGAAGCCATGACATGTTTAGGACACTATAGCTTCACCTGTAAAAAAATAACTGCAGCTTTAGAACACACATAGATTTCACAACATCAAGAGGTGGATAATGAATTTAGTTTGGTGTAAATAAAATTTAAAAAAAAAAGGAAATAAAAAATTGGTTTGTTGTTGTTATTGGAATGAATGAATCAATTGGCCTTGATAATCATTGAGCATTAAGGTACAAAGTGAGAATCTGATTTAGTGTTATCCCCTTATGCCCCCCTAAAATTCATGAGGTAAATAACTTCCATATTCTACTTACCAGTATGAATAATGTTGTGCCTTGTGAGATCAGACTTGTGTGCAAATCCACGGCCACATGTCTCACATATAAAGGGCTTCTCACCTTGAATGAAATTTAAAAAATATATATATATATATATATATATATATATATATATATATATATATTAAACTAACAATTTCATTTGAAATGTACATTCCATGTAGCATCTAATAATTTTCACCATTACATGAAACAGTCATACTTATTCTAATTCATGTGTACAATACATATATATACGCATATATAAATACCTGTGTGAACTTTCTTGTGAGAGCGCACATACTGTGGCTGTGAAAATTTCTTTCCACATATTTCACAAGAATATGGAGTTTCTGATGAATGAGTGACTAGGTGCCTTCTTAAACAGCTAACTTGACGAAATGATCGGTTACAGATTTCACATTTGAGAGGTTTAATTCCTTTGTGTAGTCGAGTGTGCTCTTGGAGTGCAGTGTTACTGCTGAACATCCTTTCACATACTGTACATTTAAAGGGGCTGATACCTGATACAAAAGGAAAGCAGCAAGGTGCAATAATTTTTGGTTTACCACTTAACTTATTAACTTACTGGTAAATTTCATTACTCAAATATTTGCATGGAAAAATGAGTGTAATGATTATTTCACACATACCAATATTAAAAATGTTTACAACAATATTGCACATTCTTTTGAAGTTTTGACACTCAGAACAGTAATAATTATAAAAGATAGTAACTTACATTTCCAAGTACTTACCAAGATGTATCATCATAGAATGCATTCTAAGTCCCTCTTTATTTACATAGGACTTTCCACAGCCTTCAACTTGACATACGAAGAGACGTAGACCAGTGTGAGTATTTTTGTGCGTATTGAGATTACCTGGAGAAAAATTATCTTTCATTTCAGTCACAAGAATCCATGAAATGAAACTGAAATACAAAACAGCATTATTTATTCCGTATACATACCAATTGTACAAAACAACTGTTAAGCATTATATGACATCTTCAAACAATCTATGATATAAAATGAAAAGATCATCTGATGCAGAAATAATTAATACTAGTATTTCTGTTAAGTTTCTTTTTACAACTTTATAATGCTAATGTATAATTCACCTTTCTGACTGAACCTTTTTCCACAGGTTTCACATTCAAATGGTTGATTTACATTAGAGGATTGGGTACTACCCCTTGGCCGTCCTCTTGGTCTCTTTGAAGGGTCTGAAAAGAATCAACAATGTTTCCAAGTATTAAGAAGTATTTTAAAACTACAAACACTTTAAAGGTTTTGTTCCCAGTCTTGTGGAGCACAATGACAATATGCTGTGCCTCAATATAAGAATGAGGTCACCAAGACAAGTTTGGCATTTTTTAGCCTGTAAATTCTATAAAATATCAGTTCAACTAATTAACAGGCCAAGCAGAAGGATGATCTTGTAGCATGTTATTATATTAATTATTACTTAAGACTCCAATAACAACCAAGAAGTATTTTGATTGACAGCAGAAATCCTACAAGTCTGTGTAACCTCCTACTTACTCTGGGTCACATTTAGTTCTCCTTCTGCAGATTCTCCATTTTCTACAGTGAAAATAGGATGCTTTCTTGGTCTTCCTGCAACAACAACAAAAATTTGGGAAAAAATTAGGTAAATATATGTCCAGTCTCTTTAAAAACAATCTACTTTTTAACATCTCCACACAAACTAAACCCTATTTTGCCAAAAAAAAAATATGTATCAAATGTTTGATCAAATTGTAAAAAAAAAGTCTGCCCATGGAAAATGGCAAATTACAACAACAGAAATATATCCTGCTGAGCAAAAAATCATTGGGAAAAAAAGTTTGGTTGACAGGCATTAACACATTCAATTTTAAAGTTTCAGATTTGATATAATTATTACAATCGGACAACTGCCTGTATGTCATGTCATGACTGCTTGAAATGCCAGTTCCTAGTAAAAAAAGTAAGTCCCCTGTTAAGTCTGGTTCCCATTTACAACTTTGCTTGACTCATATGAATGTCTACTTAACAATCTAATAATCCCCTTTTAAGTTGCAGGCATGCAGGCAGGTGAGGGAGGGGTCAGCTCTGAGAAAAATTTCATCTGAAGGTTTTATGGAAAAAGTCAAAATTTTCAGAAAAAGAACCCCAGTCCTGAGTTGCAAAGGGCTACAGAACTACTCTTTAACACAAGTGTGAAGCTGTTAAGGGGAAACTTTCAAAACACACTTGGTTTTTGACAAAAAAATTAATGACACTACAAACTCACCTCTTTTTCCACTTTTCACTAATATCCTTTCTCTTTCTGGTGTGTAGTCTTCATCTTCTTCATCATCTTCATCTGGGTTTTCTGTGTTCCTATAGTCCCTGAAAAAAAATCAATCTTCGTGCTATGCTCTGTTAGTTTACAAAGTACAAGACTAGTTGTTTATCTTTTTACACAAAAGGATAAAAAACATATGTGGGCCAACCAGAAATACTTTAATGTACATAAACTTTGCTGGCAGCAGTCAACAAATGAAGATTAAAAGGGAAATATTTTTTTTCACACACTTAAACTTAGCTTTACAATTATAATTAAGAAGACAAGATTTCTTCTTTAAATACCTAAACTTTGCTGGGACCAGCCGTCTCCTAGAGGGCACTTTGCCAGATCTTCTCTCTATTTCATAGTCATTTGCCTGGACTGCTACACTGGACATCTCTCTTTTCTGGACACCAGAATCTACAATGGTAATATATATGTGTTTGTTCACCAATTTACTTAGAGTAACTGAATATAAAAAATGATCTGAGTAACAGACAAGAATGGAAGAAAAGGTCAAACCCTGATCATTCAGAACTGAAGACCAGAAAAACCATTGAAGAAGATGATGATGATACTGACGATGAAAAAAAAAATGACAAAAATTATTTATACATTGAATAAACAAGCTGCTTGTAATACATATCTACGAACATATAAATATGTGCACAGCGCAGGTGACATCTCAAATGAGATCATTCTAGACTTAAGTGCTTACTCTGCTGAGTTATTTCTCCAAATTCAACTTCTGATATCCTTCTCATTTCTGCTGCAGTATTCAATAGTGCCTCTGCCTCCTCTTCTTGTATTCTCTCTGCTGCAGTTCTTGCCAATGTCTCAATGGCTGCCACTTCAGTTTCTTCAACCATGGTGTCAGGCAAAGAATCATGTGTTCCAGATGCTACATCTGTTGTTGCCATTGTTTGTGCTTTGTTCTAAGAGTGAAGAAGAAAACAGGTTTATATGTAAATGAAGTTGACAGACAAGAAAATTGCTCAAAGTATCCCAGGGGATAAGCTTTGCCATTACTGGTGTCACAGTGACAATATGATACATAACCCAAGAAAAAAATTAACAGTTTAAACTGGTAAAACGGCTCATACAAAATCAGTGACAAGGAGCCAACAGGAGCCTTCAAATAGTAAATCTAAAACGATAAAAAAAGTAAACTGCCATCAATCCCGCTGCTGACCCATCTGAAAATGTGAAGCTTTGATATATATAATATAATATAATTAATAGATAAAATAAAAAAATATATGGATATGATACATAGATTCCCGAAAAGATATTATCCAGAGAACAACAAAGTGAAAAGCAAAACAATGTATTAAGATGTCTGTATTTTTAATTTTTACCTTGGACCCACAGTACTTCATTGTTCAAGCTTTCAAGATTCATTACTGTTCTAGCACTAGCCGAGCAAGGTGACAGCCAAGCTTGTTTACATCGGCCCCCTAGGCTAGGGTAATATTAAGGTGAATACATGTCGCCATCTTGACTATTCATACTTGAAAAATACCTTTACCTTGTCGGATGAACTATCTTGCCACTGCAGTGTTTGCCTGTAGCGGGAAATTAGCGAAATTACTCTAAATTTCGTTTGGCCCAAGCGACTGCCATTTTAACTTTCAACTTGCGCATGCGTTATACAGTTACGCAGAAAGATTTCCTCTTTAATATAAAGACTAATTTAATCTTATAAAGGGATTCTTTCTTGGTCCATATTTCATGAAAAATTTATATCATTTGTAATTTTGAAAAATAATTTATTTTACAAAGATACACATCACATGAAGTAAGAAGAATTTGATAAGTCACGTGACCTAGGGCACCTGAGATTTAGAGAACGCCTTTTCAGTGATTGTGTTGGAATTTTTTAGTTTTGCAAAAGTGAAACGTCAGTCTGTGCATATTAGTACTGCTGTTCTTTTCTTCGCATGGTCTTTTTTGCCTTCGATGAGCATTCATTGGCTTTGAAGATTGAAAAATCGGTGAGTAGATCGGTTGCTAGTAGAAGCTTTTCCAAATCGGTTCAAGTGGGGAATGAATGGCAGTTACTCTTCACAGTTTAGATGTAGTTATCTGAACCCTGTTCATTCCATTTACGTATCTTAATACGTTTTATACTAGCGTAGACAGTTAAGTTAAATTATTTGGGTGTATAAATGGATGTTTGCGCCCACACTAATTGAAGTACACGTAAAACCTCTGTCCAGATAAATTAGTATTTATTATTTTCATTAGGATATCATAAACGACACTGACAGAATCCATGCAGACGGTACATTGCGTGATAATTTCACATATTGACTATCAAAACCCGTATCATTGCTATTATGTGTTTTACTTGACATAAGATCATGCCTGTCACTAGGGAGAAATGAAATATCCTGTCACCCTTGAAGTTTATTTGCATTGGAGCCACACAACATGTAGAACGGTCTGAACCATAATTGACTGACATTATCTAGCAATGTTTTACTCACGACCCTACATAGAAGGAGGTTTCTTATTTGAAGTTATCATTGCTGAGGTGCCTGAAAGCATTTCGTTGACATTATTTTTGTGTCACCATGTCTGTCACACCTTATTATTAATATGTGGAAGCTAAATACCTCTAGGCATGCATTACACTAATAAACAACACTAACTGAGGTTACAATGTGGCTTTGTACATTTGTATTATTTGCTCTCAGTCTCTGGGAGTCTTAAAGGTGTTGGTAAATGGGTTTCATTGTTGCCATTTGTAAGAATTTTAAAATTCTATCATGCTTCAGTACATGGATAGCAAATTATGACAAAAATATTCGGTTTAAATCATCAGTCTTTTTTATACTTTCTCAAAACAGTGGCATATGCTTAGTGTGTCGTCCCCATTGTCTGTTTATTCAAAGCAGTTTTTGATCAGTATTCATTGTTTTCTCTTCCACTTGAAAGTCTATTTTGTATCTCATTTTATTTTGTATTTTGTAATATTAACAAAAGCACTTCACAGTAGAAGTTGTCTACCACTGGCACAGAAAGGTAATCACTGACAGAACCCGACTCTTTGATACTTAGAGAATCTACCCTTTCCCAATATACTCACCGATTGAATTCTGACATAGACATTGCATGGATTGAAAAAAGTCTCTGTAGCTATGCCTCAGGCTTTCAGATAATCTGGCATGTTTATGGGTATGTCTAATGCCAGTTGGCATGCATAAAGATGGGTGGGACTGGCAATTAGATTGATGATTATCAATAGAAACAAAAGGTACAATTCATGTTTTTGTAAGTCTTCTGCTAAAATTTTTTTTTGTGAGCTCACTAGGTTGGTGTTGATTGCAAAATTAGTGTTGAAGCTCAAAGCCAGATATAAGCTACTATGTTGCAGTTTCACTATTTAAACATATTTGTCAGTAAATGGTATGAAAAACTACCGTAGTCTAGAATGTGTAGCATATATATGTCTGAGGTCAGGCCCGTAGCCAGCAATTTCAAAAGGGGGGTTCTTTTTCTGAAAAAGTGGACCTTTTACCACGAAAGCTTTGTGTGCCTAGATAAAATTTTACCTAAAGGGAACCTTTCTCCAGCAAAAAGTGGGATTCTTTTGAACCCCCAACCCCCTCCTGGCTGCTGGCCTAGAGGTATTAAGAGATTTGCCAAAAAGATAGCGCATGTGTATAATTCAGTATTCTCTACTATAAAAATTGAAGTTTGTAACAGTAATATTGAGTTTGGACTTTTTCATGATGAAAGTACACACTCACCTCTTCAGGTGTGTATATTATTTCTTCTGTATGACTTGGATGGTGTGGAATCACACTTACATCCTATAAGTAGTATTGTTAGATGTGTTTAGAAGAAACAGGCATTATATTGTGCCAATATTGAAAGCAGTAGCTGTGAAACATTGTATTTAAATGACAAAAATGACACTTAGTTTACATTGTTGGGTGGCACACATCAAAACATGAAATTAATCCATTATGTGGTCTAAATCTCTGAAACAGTTGCTTGTGCACTTTATCATTTTCTAGTTGACATTGAAGGTTAAAAACTTGATTGCCTTTATAACCTATAGTGCTATGACAGCTGTTTTTAAATGAAGCATCTGTGATATTTTAGATTATGTTGTTATTCCAGAAACACCCTGTATTATTACACATGTGCACACATTTTTATGATTTTTGTATAAATTTGATAGTATGATGACATGATTGTACTGCAGATAGCATGCTTCGTGTAACTGATGGCTGAAACCTCATTTCTTTTTTTCAAATTAAAAATTGTCTACAACTCTCTGCTATGACAAGTTGGGTTATACTATATGGAGCCTTGACCAAATGGTAAGAGGGAAATAGCATTACTGAAACAAAGGTTACTACTTAGTCATATACTAGAAATTTGGAAATAGCTTCTCTTCTTATTAAAGTTCCTTTTAAGGTAATGTATGTAAAGTATTTTATTGCGTTTTTAAAGATGTCATTGTTGTAATGGTGAGATTAAATGAAACCACTTCATGAACTCATAAATTCATAAATGATATAATCTGCTCGTTAATGGTGGATTAAAACCGTGGTTAATTATGTGAGCATTATGATTTGTGGTATTAAGTGTCGTAATTTCTCCCAAGGCTTCTTTTTTTTTTTTTTTTTTTTTTTTTTTTTTGCTGAACTGAAAACCTTTGAGTAGCTATATGGTGTTCTCTTTGCATGTAAACTTTGCTGTTTTAACAAAATAGTTATAAATTCAATAAGCTTATGTTACTAAATAGAGCATACAAAAAATAAAGGAAATCAACAGGTAGACAAACGGATAAAGGTAGGTAGGTTAGATAGAAAGATTTAGAAAAAATAGAGATGATAATGATTTTCTTCATTGCATGGGTGGTCTTGTACATCACCAGCTGTGCCTGCAGACAGTCTTCCATATGGTGCTCTGACAGAATGCAGTTGACAAAACAGTTTGTACCTCAATTTGTACACGTACTAGTGTAAAACTGACCATTTTTGTACAGGGGTTAAAAAACCCATTACCTAAAACCTTTCTTCTCAACCTTATTTTTTCTCTGCTAGATTTATACAGTTGAGTTCTTAAATAAAAAGGAGATTGCAAATGAATAAGTTCTGATGAAAACTGCATATTTGCCATAGAAGTAGGTGGTTCACAGGCCCATGAGATAAGATATATTGATTCCAGATCACAGAACATAATTCATGAGTTATGTACTACAAAAACATACACAGTTTATTGTTGTCAGGCAATTTCATCTATTATGGTAAAACATACCCACATCTGATTGTTCATGGTGCTGGTTAGATATTTGTCACAGAGCTTTATATATGACATGGCATGAAATATGCCTTCATAGTGCAAGAGCAGTAGGGTAACAGTAGTTAGTGCTATCAGGCAGATCAAGTTTCAATAGCTTCACTGTAATTTTATGCTCTGCTCTACAGCTATACAATATGAGAAGCCATGCAGGTTGCCTTCGGCTATTTTGTATTGACCAGTCTATGACTGACTGCTTGCCATGCAGTTACTGTTTTCTTTTATGTAATGCCACCATATCAGGGCAGTGGACTGTTTACGCTTTGCAAAAATAAAAATTAAAAAATATGAAAAAAGGAAATAAGATTTAGAAATACAAGCCTACAACCCCCGAAGATTTAGATTTACTTATTACTCAGGCCTGTAGCCAGGGGGGGTTCGGCGGGTTCAAAAGAACCACCCCTTTTGCTGGGAAAAGGTCCACTCTGGGAAAAATTTGATCTAGGTACATGATGTTTTTATGGAAAAAGGTCCACTTTTTCAGAAAAAGAACCCCCCTTTTGGAACTGCTGGCTACGGGCCTGTTACTTATGGCTAAAAAGACTTGGCCAGGCCACATATAGGCCCTCTGTCTGAGACATGAGACAGGTTGGTAAGTTCAAACATTGAGCAAAAGAAGTCGTAAATGCAGTCTCACTGTAAACTTAGTTTTTACGGCATCATGTTGAATAGAACAATGTGTGGAGTAACTTAATCCAGGAATCTTTTCAATCCAGGGGGTCTTGTCACATATTTAAAGTCAAGGTTGCAGAACACTGCTATTTTTTGAAAGGTGCATACCCACTGAGGTAAGGAGATTGAAGCTTAGAAAAGGTTATATGTTACATATTATTTATAATACTGCCAGAAGAAAAGACTCTTTTTTTGTTTCAGTTTGGTTTCAAGGACATTGAGAGCATAAGAAAGGGATAGCAACTAAATTGCTTGAATTTTTTTTTTTTTTTTTTTTTTTTTTGCAGTGAATTTTTCCAAACCTTCAGTCACTTTTTGCTCATTAACTATAAAATGAAAAGTTCAACACAAATCCACTAAAAGATTTTAGTCCAAAATATTAACTATTTACAGACTTTCTTGTTATAAAACAGATAACTACTGATTTATTTTGGGCCAAAGAAGACTAAGGGTGCTTTCCCAGAGATTTAGATCAATCTAAAGATTAAGATTTAGATGGACCTAACTCCCTGGGGGTTCACGCTAAATTGTAGTCAGCCGAGCGGGCACCATAGTTAATTACCCCTTTACAGCTTTTAGTAGGCGGGACAAACGCTTAAGCTGGCCAAGCTGACAGAAATCTAGTGAGACTCCCCACAGGGATAGATCGATCTAAAAATCTATGGAAATGGGGTGTTAAATTTTTGGCTTTGCAGCAGGGGTCTCCCCAGGCTTTGGGGTGCAGGGGGTTTAAAATGTGAATTTATAATTTGGTCATCGATTTACAGAGAGTCCAAATCAAGCAAACCCAACCAAATGACACAATAATTTTGTAATCCAGCTGTCTTTCGAAATGTAGGCAGTACTTTGAGGCTAATGGCTGGCCAAGTGACGACTGGGCGACTTTCTAGGGGAAACCTTGTAATTTGCAGTTAAGACCAATGTTTAGGCTAAAGTAGTTAATGAACCTGGGCCCCTGGTGCTTTGGAGCTCAGGGTCAGGGCTATAGATCTGTAAATCTCACACACCTGACTTGTTCTTGATTTGCGACAATGGAGCAGGCGGTACAGGCACAAGAGAAGAAAAGTGAGGAATGCTGTTATTCAAACATTTCATGGCAAGATCACTTCCATACTGCTGCTCATTTTATTATTCATGAATCATGCACCATTTCTTCTATACACTGGGGCAGCACTGGCAAAACAAACTGTTGAATGCATCTTAAACACCTATTTAATTGGTTGATTTAATAGAAAACCATCTAGTGCAAAGCTTTTACTTTTATAGAGATGAGGGAGTTTTAACTTGTTATTTTTTGATGACTTTTAAGTTATACAGTCTTAAGTGTGTGAATTTTCAGTATGGCAGTTTATGATGCTAACAGGTGCCGATAAAATGCTACACCCTAAAAATTTGTAATATTGATTTAAGGAGATAACTTATGCAGTATTGGATGAAATAAAATTAAAAAATAAAAAGATAAAAATGAAAAATGACCCTTTCCTCTATGATGAAACATTCCTTTTGTATTAATCATGCCAAATTTTTGTATCACATTCTTCGTCTCAGTATGTTCACTAATCTGTTTTATCTTGTGTTAGCTTGCCTGAACCAGTCAAGTGGCTTGCTTGGTTTTTACTTTAGATTGGTGGTTAACTGCATTGTATTTATATGTTAAAATAATTCATATGTTGATTAACTTATCTTAAATGACAAACATATCACTATAATGTTTCTATCTAATCGAGACATGGAAGCACATCAGTACAAGCCCCCAGTACTTATCAGTACAATTTACTTGCATAGACACAAACAAAAGAAAGAGATATCTTGAAAAAAAAGGCATGAGATTGGTGTGCATTAAGCATAGAATACAGTTGATTAAAGAGACGTATAAAATCCATTTCAGACATTAAATCCCTTTCTTTTCTATTTCCAGTAGACTTCCCACAGGGCCGGATATTGCTTGAGAGAGAGAGAGAGAGAGCTGGTGCAGCATTAGTACAGCACTGAGGGAAGCCAGGAAAGCAGCCCCAATGTGTTAGAACAGACTTCCCCAGTCCGCACTATGAGAGAGGAAGAGATCGAGACTGCCATTAAAGTGGTGGTGGTGGGCAATGGAGCAGTGGGAAAGTCCAGCATGATTCAGAGATATTGCAAAGGAATATTTACCAAGGATTACAAGAAAACGATAGGCGTGGATTTCTTAGAAAGGCAGATAGAGTAAGCACATTTTTTATTTAAGTTGATTTATGATGGTTTAATGTTACCACAATATAAAATAGTATAGATGGTTATGATTACTATGGTGGCAGCTTACTAGTAATAATAAATTATAATCTAGACTATATATTAATCTTTTAAAAGATTCCAAACTGAAGTACTTATCAGTTGTATGTCTAAAATTTGAAGAGCTTAAAGAGATGTAAGTGCCTTTTGGTTTTAATAAAAACTCAAGAGCACAATTTCCTTAAATCATTTGGTAAGAGTTTTTTTATGAAGAATGCATCATGTTGTAAAGAGATCACAATCTGTGATACATTTCTTGTTGATTTGTATGCAGCACCGTTCAGAGAGTTGACCTAAAAAACACAACTGCACGCCCTCTTGCTACATACTCATGTAACCTTAAAACCAGAAGTTTCATGACAAATTGTTAAAGCCACAAGACAATTTCAGCATACTTGCGGTTCTTTCCTTTTTTTTATACCCTAAGAGTTATGTTACATATGTTTTATAATTCTCAACTTAATTGCCAAAAACCCAGTTCCAGCCCAAGTCTGGTATTTGATACCATTACGTGTAGATTTTCATGTGTTACGGATACCCATTTGTATACAATCCTACATGACTCTGCCACTGTAAAGCATTCATATTGTGTATGTGATAGGCACTTTACTGCTGCTTCCCTTGGGCTGTCACTCTCTCCTTAAATAACTTGGGGATAATGTTCAGCAGAGTAGTGCAGGAAGTGACCTCTGCAGCTCCCTCTGCCTCTGGAAATCAAAGAAATTCACACATTATTAGGCTCCTGTAATTTAAGCTGATTGAGGAACTTGAATAGGGGTATCATTGATTTTCAGAATCAGCGGTGGTTTATTGTCTCTTTTTCTATACTCATCTAATGAACCTCAAAAATGAATTGATTATCGATGTAGTCATAAGCTGTGTAGAGGTGTAGAAACGACATTTGGTCAGAGGGGGGAGAATACCTGTATTGACTCATTAGCTTTGTGAATGGTGTTTGAAAGGTGTATAAACTCAGCACCGCTTCAAGGTGGATTAACCCCAAATATATTTATGAACTGCATAATAAGTTGAAAAACATTTGCAACACTTATACACACCTTTCCTCTTTTTGCTCTTTCATCCCCTAAGAACCCTAAGTCAGGGGTGTCCACATGTGTTAGTGCACTTAAGACGTGAGAGTCCCTGTAAGGGATTCATAAAGAAGTGGAGAACTCCTGTGTCAATAGCCTTGCCCCTAGCTACCCGTCCGAGAGGCCACTTAAACTGAAAGGACTGCATGAGAGATCAAATTGGCCACGAATGAGTTTGAACTTTGTTGTATGTTTAAAGCATGGAAACAGATCTTAATATTGCTGCTGTTAGATTAAAGTATGCCATTCTTTTCTCTGTTGGAAGAGGTTTTCCACTCAACGTAGTATTCAAAGTGATGAGAGAATCCCCCTAATTATTATTTAATAAAATGGCAGAGGTTTTTTAGTTTAGAGTGTAAAACTGCTTTTCAGAAATCTTCACATTTTAGATTCCATGGCCATGGTTTGTTTGGGTATGATCCCTTTATCAAATAACATAGCAAGGTTGTCATTTTACCATACATGCTTGTCATTAAAAACCCATTAACATTGTGTTTATGATAAATTTTTGGTTTTGATTGATAGGTGCAACATTAACCTTATTATTGGACCCAATGCCCTTGAAGTTTGACTCCAATAGGGGTTTGTTTGTTGGGCAGAGTTATTTGACCTGTTGACTTCAAAGCTCAATCTAAAGCTGCCAGGCTTGAAAGCCACTGTGAAGTCCATATCAATTTGTATACCAGATTTTTAACTCACTCCAAGCATGTTAAATCCTCACAAAGCGAGGAAAATAATTTGTTTTAAAGGGATAATAACTCTTCGTTTCGGCCAAAAAATGAATTTTCCTGGAGTAAACAACAATTTTCCCATACTTACCAATGGTTAATGAATCCATTTTTACATTCAAACTTAGTCTCTGGTTTTTTTCTAAAAAGTTTGGTTTTTTGTTAAAATCTCTTAAGAGATTTTAACAGAGTATAGCCATCAATGGAGGTCACGTGATCTAAAGACAAGCTCAGATACCAGAATAATAGCTATAACTGCTGTTTTTGTGGTAAAACAGAATATATTATATTTCTATGAGTTATTCACAATGTTTTTATTGTGAAATATAGATCTCATACAAAGAGTTATTATCCCTTTAACTAGGAATGATTTTGCTTCAAATTTTAAGGTGGAATCTTTTCTAGCTATTTTTCTAAAACCAGAAAAGTGCAATTCCAGAAATGCAGTTATAAATATCAGATAGATTGTTTTGTAGTGATGCCCAACAATCAATTGTCTGGACACAATGCGTCATCATTGTTATTGTAAAGCTTCTTTTCTATTTCCCTGTCTTAGTTATGAGCAGAAATCAAATCAAGTCAACCCATGTGAAGCCGTTTTAGTTCAGTTCCATTTCTTTTGACAGTTATCTGACTTGCACAGATTTTCTCATTTCCAGATAATACAAATTGAGCTGCTTTAATAGCATATTTCATATTCTAAGTAAACCATAACTTGACTTGTACCTATATTTTTTTGTGCTAAGTTCATTGTCTGTGAAGCTCTATGGTTTATTTTCAAAACTAGAAAAGGAAAATAGAAAGTTAACCATTTATATTGATTCAAAATAAATTTTTGCAATTATTGCTTAAAAATGCTTTTCAATGAAAAATATTTTGAAAATAATGGGGGGTTTGAAAAATGTTTTATGTTTATATTTTCCTATACATTTTATTGCTATAAGATCACTTCTGATCACTGCATTTTAATTTCAGCATTTGTTTGAATGTTATTACAAAAAATATTAAATAGCAAATTTCTGAATTTGCCAGCATCTTCTGTAATGTTGAAATTTCATTTACAAATATTTCAGAATAAACTGTGAAGATGTCCGGTTAATGTTGTGGGATACTGCTGGGCAAGAAGAGTTTGATGCAATCACAAAAGCTTACTACAGAGGTAAGAAACTGAGAAAGTGATCTTTAAAACCACATTATATAATAATGGTGTACACCTTAAATTTTTCACCTCCTAGTCACTAGGAACTGTAGGCATCAGAAAACCTTATGTCTGAATCAGAATAAATAAATGAGTTCAAAGATGGAAATGATAGATAAAGGGAAAGTATCCACAAAGTTGATTGCCTTGCACCAGGGATTGGTTTTACAGAAGTGTTTTCAACTAAATGTTGGTCATAAATGTTGACCTAAGTTTGGTCTCAAACTTTAAAAAGGGGTTTTCAATGGGTTTAGAACAATTTCATTTAATCTTTTCATTTACTGATTTAGCATACTTAATTTAAAGCATACTTAATTTTTGTTAAAATATTTAGATCAAATTTCACTCTAAGGTTCCTCCTCGAAAAGAGCCCAGGTGGCTATACAGACTGCAATGCAGGCTATAATAATATACAGGCAGTGAACTGCATCCCTTAATGGGCAATTCCATGTTTGGTTACATGGTTAATTGATTTAGATGTATAAATGATGAGGGACCAATTGCCTTTAATGTGCCTCTGAATAAAATATATCCCTAACTTGTCATGTTGCATGAAAACGAATGTCTGGTCTTATTGTTTAGGTGCACAAGCATGTGTTCTAGCATTCTCAAGTACAGACAGAGATTCTTTCGATGCAATACAAAGTTGGAAGAAAAAGGTGAGTGGTTCTTGTGTGGTTCAATATCCATTTTCACTGTTGCAATACAAGGACGTATGATTTTGAAGATGCCAAACCTTCATTACTGCAGACAGGAGTTTCTCTCTCTCTCTCTCTCTCTCTCTCTCTCTCTCTCATGGAATCAGGTGATTTTAAATTAAATTCGGATGAGACCTAAGGCAGACCCAGACCCCTGACTGATTAAGTGTTTTATCCACAATAAATGTTCAGAGATTTTGTTAAAAGCTCTGACTAAATGTTTGTTACTTGTCAGTGAAAAAAAAATTGATTTTAGTAGCTAGCAAACCTGGTTGCATTTAAAACCATCATATTTTGACCAAAGTCTGGAGCATCCTGTCATGTCTGTCACTGCTTCTTATTTCCTACTTGTTTATGAGCAGATTTTGACGTTAGCAGCACTAAATGGAATAATGCATTTACCGGAAGCATTAAAAGAAGCTTCACATGTACATGTATATGAAAATGAAGGACTGTGAATTTTTCAGTGACATTTGCATCTTCTGTGGTTCATTGTCCATGTGATTTTCATTTTGAGATGCTTTCCATTAATAAACAAATGTTTTATGACTACAAATTTTCCTCTGTATTTCTCAAAACAAGTAGCATTGAAAAGCAAATAGCCTTCTTGTAAATCCAGTATGATATATTTGCTGAAAGGCATGCATTTGTCTCACATGTTGAGAAAGAATGCATTATTATGGATGTTCCAACTAAAGATAACAAACAGGTGACAACACTATACATTGTTCCCTCTAGGTGGAAGATGAAGTAGGGGAACTTGCAATGGTTTTAGTCCAGAATAAAATAGATTTAGAGGATGAAGCAGTAGTACAACAGTAAGTTCTTCAGTATTTACAAATTTTTATTTGTTTATTTATTTATTTATTTATTATTTATTTATTTATTTATTTATTTATTTATTTATTGTTAATACTACACTAAATCTACTAATAACTGAAATGCTACTAAAATCAAGGAGTTATAACTCCTTGCTAAAATTAAAGCATTATAAGGCTTTCTATCAGCAGCTAATTTGTCAGGTTTTATATTTGATACTAAAAACATGTGGTATCTAGTTGATTTTGGTTGTTCAAGAAAATGCTATTACTTTATCCAATTAATTTATTAGTGTATAAGTTCAATTTTAAAACCATGTAGTTGGTTTAATGTAGCTGTATTCAAGTTACACGCTTGAGAAGCTCCAATACTTCTTGTTCAAGTACTGTGCTGTATATGCTTCCAGAGAGGAAGGAGAAGAGCTAGCCAAACAATTAAAACTACGATTTTACAGGACGTCGGTGAAGGATAATGTCAATGTGGATGAAGGTTAGACTCCTTTTTATTGATATAAACTCTTAAGCTATTATGAACTCTGAAGCGTAATGCATTGGATGTAATAAGAGAGAATATCTTTGCAATGGCAACATCTGCTCCCATTTAAGAGTTCAAATCACCTTGTTATTTGTTGAATCTGAAAGCTAATGAATTATGCATTGCAGCACTTAGAGGGTTGTTTGCATATGCTCACAGTGTATCCTGTACAAGGAGTTTGTTCAACGCCCACTTATGGATTGCTAACAGCTTTACCTGACACTACCTAAAGTTTTTTTCTTGTTGCTTATTTTCAGTCGATGCCAGTTAAGGTCTTGTTGACAATTCTGGGAATTCTGTTTGTTGATGAAAGGAAAATTAGACAGTATTAATCAAGTAATTTATAACAATTTAATTTTACCACAGAACCCTTACTAGCTATGGAAATACAGCACCAAGAATTGTAAAGCAGAAATGAGAACATACAAATTGGACTCCAGATATTTTGCAGGTTAAGTGCATTCACATTTCTGTTTATCAGTTTTTAAATTGTAATCCAAATATTATTATTTGTTTGGTTGTTTTCAGTTTTTAAATACCTAGCAGAAAAGTACCTGCAAGAAATCAACACAGTTGTAGAAGAGGAGATTAGTCCACAAAAAATAGGAGGGCCAAGTGAGTTCTACACTGGTTATTGAGATCAAACACCCTCCTCATTGATCCTTTTGTGTGCTATAAATATTATTTGTAACCTATGAAAATCAATGAATGATATGTGAAGTTTACACAATTCGTTATTTTCTTAATTTTAACATAAGAAGCCGCTTTCTGTGAAATTATTTATCATATTGATTTCAGTTGTTTGGAATTTGGTAGCATTAGCCATTTCAGGTTTGTATTACTTTGATAACTGCACTTTTTATCTCTTAGTCTTTTTATTTACTTATTGGTGGCACAATTATTTGTGAAATTCTATTATCAAATTTTCATTTTCACAGGTTTCTTTACAACACAAACAAATTCCACAACAAATGGGAAAAATAGTGAAAAAGAGAAAGATGGGGGGACAATCACTCTTCATCCTTCAAAAAGACGCACGCAAGGAAAGAAAAACAATTTCAAGTGTACATTATTGTAGATGTGCTACCTGTCAGAGAGAATGCTGTAGATGTGCTACTGTCAGAGAGAATACTGTAGATGTGACAGCTCTCTGCAACTGCAGCAATGTGCAGTTTCAGCGCCACTGCAAATTGTGTGTAATAAAAGCTGCTTCTGATAGATCATGTTCAAAGCTGACAGTCCAGATGCCAGTTTAATCCTTGATAAAGTGCGCTTTTGGTGGAAGGTGCTGCTACTTGTGGATAAAGTATAAATATGCAGATGTATTAAATGCCTCAGCAACATTCCTTTGGCCCTACAGGGGATTGCTGCATACGTCTCTCCCCTAGTTCAAAAAGAAATGTTTGCCATTCTAAGGACCAATGTGCCCATTCAAAGAATTTCATATAAATAATTGACTATATATCATTATTTCAAGCAAGTGGATGGTGATAGGGTGACTATTTTCAGCCAGACTATCATATTATCATGTTTTTAAGATGACCCACAGAACCACTGAATAGCAACTTTTGATTGAAGTGGCATCGGTGAATGTCCATTGCTCAGAAACATTATTTTTGCAAACTGGGCACGTCTGATACTCAATATTTGCTGTAGAAGTACTTAGTTTGTGCGCATTGCTCAAGTCACAAGTGGAGACATTGCATTCATAAATTAAACTGTTGTCATTGATGTTCAAATTTGAATTGGACACTTTATGTCAGTTTTATAATATGAAAAAATGAGAATCATCAGGTGAGTATAGGATTTCTTTATTTTCAATTCAAGATATAATTATATTCAATTGCTATGAATTATTAAGGCAAACACGTAATCTTTTATTGGGCTGCTTCTCTAGATTCCCAATATGTTAGTTGCAAATCTAGCATTATATTGAAATCCAGCTTCATATGTATTTTTATATGAATTGTATTATATACAAATAAGTCTGATAATCTCAGTTGTATGCACAGAATGCATGCCGTCCAGTATACACCAAGAAGTATAAAACATACATTATAATGTTGTACTCTATTATACTGTTATATATATATTATATACAATATTGAAAGAAGCAGGAATGGTTAGCTAGCATCTGACCAGTGGAGTGAGACATTCAAAGAAGATACAGGCCCTCAAGTATCATTTTAAAAAGTGTGATGATCATTATGAATTATAAGAACATTTCCCATATTGGTTGTGAATGTCTCGATTGGATTTTTTGATAACATATCTGAAATCTGGTGGTAAATACCTGAACCAGCATTTTGTTCCCTCTGACTGGCTGTGAGATTAAGAATTGAATGAAATTATAGGTTGTGTATATATATAGCTGAAGAAATCGAGGTAAAAGAGAGAGAAACTTAGATTATATATTATTTGAAGGTTTAAGGGTGATGCTTGCAAACAGTTATATTGCTTACAATATACATGTACCTTCAAGGCACAAGAATGATTTTCACAATTTAAAAGAAAATATTCACAGTACAGGATAACATGCTTGTATACTAGGGCCCAACGTGTAAAATCACACATGAAATTATGTCTGAACTGTTTGCTTGATCTGCACAGGTCATAGTATGTATTAGGATTAAAAACATGCTTTGCACACCTGTTTTTATCATAACCCCAGTAAATTTTTAGCCATCAGTAGCATAATAGAATTATCACACCAGATTTTGCTTCCAGCACATACCAGGCGGATTATTATTATTATTTTACACTGATTGATAGGTCACTTCATTGTTTCTTCTACTCATTCCAACTTTCTAACAGAGGGGCCTTGACTTTGCACAACCCAAGAAATTTATATATTCGTATACATTGCCTTATTTCAGTTAGTGTGGAGGTTGTGCCAAAATTATGAAGGGACCATCAGTAGAATTAGAATGTGTTAAAACTATGTGCCTCCCAAAACCATAGTTATTACATGTAGAACTCATTCACATATACCAAGGGTCCATAGACTGTGAAACCTCATTCTATACAATGTACAATCAAAATAAATGGTTTTTAACTATGAAAACAGCATTGTTCATTTCATGGAACCGCTACGTTGTTGGTTTTATTAAAATGGCATTTATAATAAATTGAAGCATTGGGGGGTGGGGGGGGGGGCACAGAGAGAGACGAGACCACACTTTCGCGTTTGATGGAAAAACTTCCATCCTTCTCATTTGAAATTCTATTATTATTGACTTAAAGTCTCATTGAAATGTAGTGGGCACTGCTATGAACGTTCTTTTGTTCCAAACTTATGGGTCTTATGACACAAACACTGTCCAATGTCAATCTGACATTTACAGACCGCACTGACGTCACTTGGTGCGGTTCCTGTACATTTTCATTTATCCACAAAGCATGCTCAAAACAAATTAATTTGCTCTCCCTGCATCTGTCGATCACCTTACTGTGCTTGATAAGCAAAACATTTAGGCCTAATTGATTCTTATTCTCGAATTCTTGCCAAAACAATATACATCATTAACACGCATAAAACACCATGCACTCGTATTTTTATGTCGAATCTGGTATCTAGATGGGTTCTACAACGCACGCTCTTATTTCCCTTTGTTCAGTTATTGAATATGAAAATCACCTACACCTGTAACGCGAAATACCACACTTCAAAAATCCAAATCTGTACAGTACAACTATTACAATTCACATGTGCTGATTCTTCTTAGTTTTAAAATACTAAACCGGTTTTGATCGGCCCAATTCAGGGGCGGATCCAGAGCTATTTTCTGACAGTCTTCCAAATAATCTTTGTTGATTCATCCTCGAATTTTGACCGTCTTCCAACAGAAAAAAATAGATACCTGTCAATGTAAACTTGAAAATTTGACCGCCTTCCGGAAGACCCAGAAGACGGCCTAAATCCGCCCCTGCAATTATTATTTTTGCGTTATGGTGGACTAGGATTTCATATAGTTTTCAGATTCGAGCGTTGTCATATCTCGGTCACGTCTCGCTGACGCTGTACCTTACAGCTTGTAACACACTCCCACTATCGACCATCATGTACAGTTTCTGATCTCTGGGATTATAATCTAACATGACCACCTTCGATCCAGGATTTGGGACACTCATGGCGTTGGACCACGTGTGCTCCTGCTGCGTCAGGGTGTCGTACACGTACTTCACGTTCATGGTGGGCGATTGTTCGTTGGACTCGATCGTATAGAGCGCGCCCTTGTACATGAACGATTCCCCGATGGACCCCCGGGTTGTTACTGATATGGTATGCGTATTTGACAAGGAGAGATCAGAGAGGTCCACTTCACTTAATTTCATCCCGTTACTGTCCGTCTGGTACAGCGCCCACATGCCAAACTCATCCACGGCGAAATCGGTGTCGGTGTTGGATATTCCCGAGTAGGAATATTCGTCGTGCGCCCCGGCCCCTGCAGGGAGAGCAACGTTCACAATAAGGGTGTTGTCAGCTATTCGAATTTTGATGATTTCTGCATTGTTATTGTCATGACTATCACAATAAATAGAACCATTGTAAACGACATGACCGGTTCCGTCACAGTGTGTGTTGAGGGTTGTATCAGAATCGTACGAGTTGGCATTGGCCATGGCGGCCTCAGTGAGATACTCGTATAGGTCTTTTGCGTCGTGAGCTTTTTTGAGGACCCACACTTTAGTGCTTGTACTTTCAACGTACGTGTCTTTGAGCCACGCCCCCATGTCGCTGCTACTAACTATCGCAGAAAGATCAGAACATAGTATTTCTTGGTTCGTAAACTGCAAAACTGGAGGAGATGTCCGCACTGTAAGCAAAGGATGAGTGAACACGATATATCAACGACATAGATAATGCCTCAATCACGCAAACAACGATGAATTAATTTTCATAGCCAGTGAAGCTTTCTGTTTAATGATAAATTATATAAAATGTATTGATAACTGCAACAAACAATTCAAATAGGTACAGTGACACAATACATGTAAAAATGATGTTTGATTTTTATACAGCTAAAAACTGGAAACTTCGAAAAAAAAACTACCCAACAAGGTATAACCTATTCAAATAAAAGCAAAGAGGTACATGAGATACAATTTTTCGTATAGCCAATAATTCACCAGTCTCACCCCCATTAGGAGACAGGAACTAAAATCGTAGTCATGAGTTTATTTATTTTTATTTATTTATTTATTTTGTATGGTATATCATATCTTGGAGAATTTTTAACGTACCCTGGCACGATTTACCATCCCCTTGCAAGGTGTACCCTGTGTTACAGGAACAAGTAAAATTTCCGACTGTATTGTTGCACATGTGATCGCAGCCGTCTGTAGTCAAGTTACATTCGTTTATATCTGAAAAGAAAGTACACACTATGTACAGACAACGCTCATACAAAAATCCCTGCTAAACATCCTTTATCAAGGCAAAAAGCATTTACAATATTATTAGGTAAATGTTGAAGTCTGTGCATGTGTTTGTGTATATAAGAAAGCGATCGGATCCTAGGCTATAGACTTTTCACGTCAAATTTTAACAATGCTGAATTCTTTTAAGAATTAAAACAGAATTAATTAAAATTACAACAGAATTAAAATAGGTGTTAAAATAGAAATACCTTGGCAACTGTAGCCGTCAACTTGTAGCTGGTATCCGGAGTTACACGCACAGCTATATCCCCCTCCGTGATTATTGCACACTTGTTCACATCCATGTGTATTCGAATTGCACTCATTAATATCTGAAATTTTTATTAATTTTTATCTATTTATTTTGCTCTACAAGATTTTGTGTCCTTTAAGGACTTTCACGCTACATAACAGCGCTGTTGAACTGACGAAGAAAGGGGGCATACAAATAATATATAAGTATATATTCTATTCAAAGAGCAACATACGCCACAAAATTGCCAGGCAAGGTTTTACCGTACCTTGACACGAATGGTTGTCTACGGCCAGAGAATATCCAGCATTACAAGAACACGTGTAACTACCCTCAGTGTTGGTACAGTTGTGTTCGCAGCCGTCTGTATTTGCAGAACACTCGTCTATATCTAATTAGGATAAAAGAAATAAAATAAAAGAAGTAACTTAGGTAGGACAGAAGAAAGATTGGGATCGCTACATCCTAAAATTTCCAAGGTCAATTTTGGGTGAATTTTCATGGAACTGGACCAATCATATACTGGTATGCGGTATATGTGTAGATGGGATTTGATTAATTGTGACGTTTACGTAAGTCGTACTTAAATGTACCCCACGTGCACACATATCACAAAATAAAATCAATTTACCCTGGCACGATTTACCATCCCCTTGCAAGGTGTACCCTGTGTTACAGGAACAAGTAAAACTTCCGACCGTATTGTTGCACATGTGATAACAGCCGTCTGTAGTCAAGCTACATTCGTTTAGATCTGAAAAAGGAAATTGATTCCAGAATATGTTCTTTTTAGTGATTTTTTTCTCGTCGTTGAAATTATTTTCCTAATCTCGTTAAACAAACAACCAAAAAGAGACGTTCATCAAAAGAAAGGCTTTGGTAATTACAAACCCCTTCAGGGTATATTCCACAAACCACGCGTCAATATTTACAGGCACACAATACACGTCTGACTTATATCGTTAAAGATTAATTTTCTGGGCATTTTCAACACTATACACCAAAAGTCGTTCACAAATATAAATCCGTCTTTCAGTTCCGTGATTCACATGTTTGTGTCACCCTCGTAATGGCAATAGCAACTGACGAACTACAGCTGTGCTCGTAACGGTAAAATAGAAATTTAGAACTCGAAAACGGGTCGAGAGATGTAGAAACATAAATAAATTTGGTCAGGGAGATTAACCCTCAAGTGACCAAACTATTTTACTGACTGAAATGACCAAGTGGGGTCATCTACGACCCCATTGTGTTCTGTACAGGGATCCTTATTATAAAAGGCTGGTTGGGGGCTTATCACACTTATACTATTCCCAGCATTTAAGAAAGGTCTTTTATAATGATCTAATGTAATAAGTAGGCTATTTGGTAATAATACTTTTATTGCAAGAAATAACCAAACAAAGATATTCAGAACAACATAACTTAATTATGTAGACAGTCCTTGTCAGTTTCCACTTGCAAAAATATTTCTCTTTTTTGCCACACTAAATAAAAATGTACATCATAGGAAATAAATTTGAGTAAAAAAATGACTTATGTTGAACTAGCATCCTGCTAACATCAATAAAAATAAAATTTTAGCTGACTTGCTAGATTCAGCGATGCACTATTAGTAACATTTCAAGTAAAATCTTCTCAAACCACTTTTTTGTGACTATGTTCTGGGCACACCGGCTGTTTGTATGAAGCACATGATTCAGTGCAATACAATATAAGAAGTGGGACATTTGAGTAAAATTAAAAAAAAAAACAATGTTTAAAAACTAACGCTTATCTTTGGGGTCATAAATGACACCACAAGAGTTTGTGATGTATACGCCACACTAATTGGTTGATCCCCGCAAAAAAACTGTGGAAGTGCGTAGGATCCGTAGACTGACAAACTCAGACAAATTCAGATAAAAAAAATAAAGAGATGGCACATTAAATCATATGGCTGGGGTCGTAAATGACCCCATATGGTCACTTGAGGGTTAAGAAAAGAATATTTTTGAAATTTCCAGTATTTTTTAAAATTTTGTCATTATCATCATTTCTTTTCAAAGGCCTAATGCGTCTTACATGTAGACCATCCATAATATCGACGTTCACGTGGCGTTGGGGACCTTGCACCCTGATATCCAGGGGATATTTATTGGTATGCAGTATATGTGTAGATGGGATTTGATAGTTGGAAATAAATCTCATTTTTGGTCGACCAAATTAAAATTTTTAAATCTTATGAAGCAAAAAAAAAAAAAAAAAAAAAGATGCCTATTTGTAATTGCCATTTTGTTTCTTACCTTGACATGAATGGTTGTCCACGGCCAGAGAATATCCAGCATTGCAAGAACACGTGTAACTACCCACGGAGTTCGTACAGTTGTGTTCGCAACCGTCTGTATTTGCCGAACACTCGTCTATATCTGAAATTTGACCGTTTAAACCTTTTTAATTATTAAATTGCCTCTTTTGTTACACACACACATCATTATGGTACTGTTCTGTTCGTTGAAAAACTAAAGGAGAAGAGTATGCAACGAATTGATTCCACGAGCAGGATTACATTTGCCACGGGCGCCGTAGAATGAAATGCATACGATTTTCCGTACGATTTTCTATATTGGTTTGCAATAAAAAAAGCAAACAACTTTATATATATATATATATATATATATATATATATATATATATATATATATATATATATATAGCAAGGATACAACAGGTTAACTTCAATAAATGCCTTACCTAAACACGCCGGCGTAGCGTCCCATTTCCCTTCAGCCAAACAGGCCACGGCGTTTGTGGAATTAAGTGCATATCCAGCGTTGCAAACATACACGGCTTGCGCGCCAGTTCCGGTTCCTGTCACACTAGATACAGCGTTTGGCACTACAGGAGGTAGACCACAGTCCACTGGAATGGTAAAGGTGTGAATGAACGACAAACAGCCATGATGCGTCGTTTGAAATGGAAGAAGAACTGTTACTCGATGGCACACTGCCAATTTCAAAGGGGAAATATTATGAAGACCCTCCCTTCTTCCTCCTTTTTTAAAATTATTATTATTATTATTATTATTATTATTATTATTATTATTATTGTTATTGAGCAAAATTGATCATTAGCTTGGTAGTTGCATGATAAACTCAACGCGAAAATCAAACTCAAAGCGAAAATCTTTCATACTGTTAGCTTACGGCCAACCTGGGCTCCGTAACTCGAAAGCATCGCGCATTGCGACCGAGCGCAAGCGTCTTGATTCCATAACTCGCCCATACTCGCCTTCATCAGACTGATGTGAGATGTTGTTATCTGAGTCATCTGACATCCCACGTAAGATACGAGAGGCTATCAACATCAGCCGTCACCAGTCACCCATGAATAGGAAGGGAGGGGGGGGGGGGGGTCGATCTACCTGGCATTCGCTAGAGGCCGCTATACCGCCTAGCGATCATTGAGTAACAACATCTCACATCAGACTGATGAAGGCTTACGTTCAGGTTGGCCGTAAGCTAACGGTATGAAAGATTTTCGGCTTGTGTTTGCTAATTTTCATTTGTTATTATTATTATTATTGGTTTAGCACGTCGAGGATTACAATACATGCAAGCAGGCTATTTGCAACCACTGTGTTAGTCATCCACATGAAGGAACAGTAAGGGATATCTGATGGACTGCAAAAAGGAACAAGCTTATGCTTTATAAAAGTCAAACATATTTGTCAAAAATGTCTTTTCCCTGCCCCAACCCCACCCCAGTTTACTGCCCTATTATTACAGTATTAACCTTCTGTTGTTGTCGGACTGTCTGCGGTGCTTGTCTGGGGTTCAGTTGTTGTCGGCTGGGCTTGTGTTGTTGTTGGCTGGGCTTGTGTTGTTGTTGTTGGCTGGGCTTGTGTTGTTGTTGGCTGGGCTTCTGTTGTTGTTTTTGGCTGGGCTTCTGTTGTTGTTGGCTGGGCTTCCGTTGTCGTTTGGTCTTCCACTGTTGTTGGCGGGGCTTCCGTTGTCGTTTGGGATCGTGTAGATGTCAGCTGGTCGTCTTGTGTTGTTGTCGCCCGGGCTTGTGTGGTTGTCAGCTGGGCTTGTGTTGTTGTCGCCTGGGCATGTGTCGTTGTCGCCTGGGCATGTGTCGTTGTCAGCTCTTCTTGCGCTGTTGTCTCCTGGGCTTGTGTAGTTGTCATCTGGCCTTGTGTATCTAGTGTAATGATTTATCTTATTTTCAATCAATAGAACAAAGCAAATTAAAAAATATATAATGTGATTACATGGGATCTAAAACTTGTTGACATCATACTCTTATACATATGAATTTGATATAGGGGCCTATATATATATAAGTACATGTATTTCATCACCAAGTAAGGTGTTCATATCACTTCTAGTAAATGTTTGCACGGACATTGTATACATATTCTGTGCCATTTCTTTGAAGTAAAATAATCAAAATGAACCGCTCGTTCAACATTGTGGACTTATATTCACCTATACACTGAGGCGGTGTCTCCCACGCCCAGTCTACATACCGACACCTTATCGTGGCGTTGCCCTGTAGCAAAGTTCCCGCCGAACAGGTATATACCACTTGGGTATCGGTCTGGTTTACAGTTACATGGACTTCGGCGTTGGCCACCCTGGGTATTGGTCCGCAGTATGCTTTATAAAAAAAGTTATTTTGTTTTTCTAAATTTGTAATCTTTGCCATAAATGAAAATGACCAATCTTTTTGTAAAATCGTTAGGCCTAAATCGCGAGGTGAGATCTACAGGACAGAATCAAACATCTCACAGGAATACATTTGAATTGGAGTCGCATTCATCCTTTATTTAGACAACGCCGATTTTGGCATAGTCGATAGTGAGAGGTGACATTTTCTCTTTTAAAGAATTTTACATAATAGCTGATCTAATTTTTACAGAACTCTGAATGTGTTAATTAGAATCATCTCTCAACAGGCCTTTTAATTTTTAATTCTTATATGGCCACCGTACTATAAAGATTGTTAACGTAAATAGGATAAACTAGTAACAAGCAAATTTAAAAATGCCAAGCTCGTGAAGGTATCTGGATTACCTGATGATTTGGTACTCTATAGGCGAAACCGCTTGAACATAATATTAAAGAAAAAAAGCTTGATTGGTAAAACAACGACGATTTATAAAATGTTTTCAGGCATTTCACGCATTTTTGTAAACCTGCGTCATCAGGAACAAAAAACCGGTCGGTCTATTGCTCACGTCATGACTGATTGCCACTTCCATGTATATTATTCACAATTATACCAACATAAACTATAATAGGGCCTAACTTGCACAACAAAGACAAAAGAGGTCGCTTAGCTACCAAGGTATAACAAGGGAAAAATCTTATCTTAAAAGGTAATTGTGCCATGATCCGACGTTGCGATCGGCACCAGGGACATGAGCGTCAGTGACGAAGAATTGAATGTCAACGAATTAGAACGTTCCTCTCGCAAAAGAAATTTATTGTTCCGAGTCTATAGGCAAGAAATCTTTACCCACCTACCACTTTTATATCTAATTTCATTGCATGTGAATATTCGGATGTCTTATCATATCTTTACGTGACGTTTTATTTATTTTTCGTATTCATAGTTGTTTGTTTTATTTTTTCATCTGAGTGGAGCTGGTATAATGATCGATTATCATCAAAAAAACAATAATATACTTTATTTCTTTTACAATTCATTCATTGTTTAAACATTAAGGCAAGAAATTGAAATAAATTTGAGGAAGTTAAAGATTTTCGAGCGCATTCTCATTGGTTTGAATGAATGCATTTATTAATAAATATAACGTTATGTTTACATTGAGCATTAAGTGCAAGGTATTGAAATTTTACTCACGTTTCTGTCCAAGGATGCCACACTTGTCCTGAAAATCAATGAAATATAAGTAAATAAGTTGCAATTCAGCTGATTTTGCTTCAAAGAATGCGGTGCTGCTCCTTTTTAACAAGATCATTCAGTCTGTAATGTACTGCCATCCTCTTGGTCATTATGGCCTACGTGAGACAAACTGAAACAAAAATATGATTGACCGCACATCATAATAAAGATACCTAGTTTACGTGCTCGTGGTTTATAGAAAATTTCCCCATTAACGCATTTCCTTCCAACTCCATATTGACCAAATGCTGAATTACATAACTTTGTGGTTTCTATGGCCTTTTCAGCTTTTCTCAAAACGTAATGAAAGAAGCCCATTAATAGTGGAACTTATAGTTCACTCGAGTATGTATTAAAAAAGCTGAGTTTACTGAAAAACTTACCCAGACAGAATTCGAAATTAAATCATAATTATGTTTCTTCCTTCATAAGCAACATTGCAACACATATCGGGTGTTTTGGAATTTGCATAAATAAGACCAAGTATTATTTCTAAGTTCCAGTGGATACAAAACTAATTTGACAAGAAACTTATGATTTAAAAATACAATTTCAAGAAGGAGAGTTTCATTACGGGCAATGATTATTATCATTAAGATATTCAACAAAAAGCTACAGCTATGAGTAGATTACACAAACAGATATAAGCAAAAGCACATTTGATATACCAACAGGTTCACAGAAATTTCCGGTTCCAAGAACTGAAAAATTGCATTTTTCTCACCTTTTCATAATGAACAAATCCAGTTTGCTGTGCCACCTGGCCGCTCCCAGCCTCCTCCATGGTGCGGTAGTTTAAGACGCAGTTCTGGTCACTCCCCACACTGACCGATGTCCGGTAGTTGATTGACTTGCAAGCAGCTTCGTGCAGACACCTTTTCACGCAGCTAAAGACATCAAGAACTTTGAATGACTGAATTTCGGAATTGAGCAGAATATTTCCGTTGCTGGATTGGGCTGGTTTTTTCATATACCCACACGATTTTTCATCACAATGTACAGTCTCTGCAGATAGCAGTAAAAGAGCGATCAAAATCGCGTACTCCATTGCGTAGTAAACGTGCTTTTTCATCCTCTGAAAAACCTTTGCAAAGCTGCAAAATCGAAGTGGACTTCTACTAACGCAGGCAAAATAATTTCCAGGGGGCATTAGTTTAGATTTATCTAGTACAAAACATTGTCACGTGGCGAATTTAAAATTGTGAAGTGTCTGTAAATAGACATTAAGACAAAAGAATNGCCTCCTCCATGGTGCGGTAGTTTAAGACGCAGTTCTGGTCACTCCCCACACTGACCGATGTCCGGTAGTTGATTGACTTGCAAGCAGCTTCGTGCAGACACCTTTTCACGCAGCTAAAGACATCAAGAACTTTGAATGACTGAATTTCGGAATTGAGCAGAATATTTCCGTTGCTGGATTGGGCTGGTTTTTTCATATACCCACACGATTTTTCATCACAATGTACAGTCTCTGCAGATAGCAGTAAAAGAGCGATCAAAATCGCGTACTCCATTGCGTAGTAAACGTGCTTTTTCATCCTCTGAAAAACCTTTGCAAAGCTGCAAAATCGAAGTGGACTTCTACTAACGCAGGCAAAATAATTTCCAGGGGGCATTAGTTTAGATTTATCTAGTACAAAACATTGTCACGTGGCGAATTTAAAATTGTGAAGTGTCTGTAAATAGACATTAAGACAAAGGAACGTTCCATTCTCGTCATAGCAACTCGATTGTTAATCATTACCAAAAACATCCGAAAAGCTATCTTCGTAATGGCATTGCAAATGCACATAAAGTCGATATTTGCATCCATGATGATCAGGTCTTAAGTGTTTGAAAGATTTCCAGACGAGATCAACCTACTGCAACAGTATAGGTAGCCTGATTTAATAGCACAATAAATTCTATTAACGAATGAAATGACTAAAATTGCATTTTTATTACGTGTCGAGACAAAATGCATCTTACCGGCTTTGTTAAGGAGATGTTTCTAAAGAATTTTCAAGTTGGAACACGATACACTGATGGTCGATACACCTGGGCCGTAGTCTGTGGTTTCTAAGATGCTTCCTGAGCTAAGTGAATTACACCATTAATGGGACTAATGGTCTTCGAGGTTGTCCATAACAACTTGATAACGAGGTCGCTAGATTAACTGTGTAGTGTCAATGGCTTTTCAGAAAAAACGCTGGCTATCAAAGGCAAAACGTGCAACAAACAATTGAATCTTAGACTCGCAAAATGTTTTTCAGAAAAGGTTTTCCTTTCGCCTAGGTTAAAGCCTTGTACTAAACACTGTTGAGATTCCAGAACAATCATTAACTGTATTATCCTCTATTTTTCGCTTCTTTTCATAAGACCCCTTTTATCAATTTTGAAGTAAATCTCAGAGGTAATAAATGACGCACGCACACACACACACACACACACACACATTCACACACACGCACGCACATTCACACACACGCACGCACACATTCACACACACACACACACATTCACACACACGCACGCACACTTGCACGCACGCTACAAACCCATTAAGTGATTAATACTTATAGAATACAGGTGACTGGCACTGATAGATAGATATACCCCAGTAGATAGTAAATATGTGCATGGCATTTCCTTAGTGACTATTCTACTACTACGGGATAACCCACAGCCAACAAAGAAAATAGGGAGACGTACGTGAATTATGTTCACTATCCTTTTCACATGTTGGCTACGATGTTTCCCTCTACCAGGGCCACAGGTTGATTTTTCACAAGATATTCACAGATGTGTCATTAGATAAATAGACAGTCATTTGATTCTCTGCCTCTTTGAAATTTGCCTATAATATCTGCCACCCTGGTAGAGGGTACTACGATGTAAGGCTTTCCACTTTTACCATGTAGCTTTCAGCCAAAAGTATATTGGATTGCTTAATATTTGTTTATTTAAACACACCCCCTTAAATTGAGTGATCCAGAAAACGGCGTGCTGTTATCATTCTGATTATATAATCAACCATTTCCGTGAAGTCACTTTCCGCATATTGGGTATTACTTCCCGTTGCAATTATCATGTGTGTAAACAACAATTTAAAGATTTTCAAACGGTGATGCAATAGTTAATTACATTAATGGGGGACATTTTTTTCAACAGTGGCGCTCCCCGAGTGTAGGGCATCTACACAATATCTAAGAAGATACATTGTACAAATTTCCCAAAGTCATATATGTTTATATCTACATATTTTGAAAAGCTACTGAACTTTAACAAATAAAAGTACTCTTACATGCACCTAAAGTTGATAGTTCCTTCTGAGTTGTACAAGAAGACATGGGTTCTAAATGACTGGCCAGTCATTGAGAAGTAAATCACACACACACACACACACGCACACACACGCACGCACGCACGCGCGCGCACACACACACACACACAAAAAAAAAAAAAAAAAAAAAACGAATCCAAGAGCATGGACGGGTCGAGCAATGGTTCGTGAGTAAGACAATTTTTTTTTCTCAAAGAAAATTCATTTTGGTGGATAAATCTCGTAAAGATTACCTTTAATTTCTATTCTCATATCTGTCAGCTGAATATAAAGAATCTCTTGACTTATGCAAATCTACTACGCGACTCATATATACGAATGCATGGCTTAGGGTTATCCAGCCTCCCTTCATAAGAAAGGATTCTATATATTTACCAGAAAAAAGATAAAGAAAAGAAATAAATCATTTCAGTTAATTTCAGGGCACAAATGCATCAGCGCACAATTTCAGAAGAAACATTGAAATAGATTCATAATTCCCGTATTCTAATTCATTTCCTATTCGATACGAACGTATGCAGGAAGTGCATTATCTCCATAATCCCGTCTTACGTTTTTGTTTACACAAAAGCATAATAAGATCGATATCAAGCAATACAGAGGATTTTATGATAGTCAAATCCCTCCTCCCTCCCTTTCTCCCAGTAGCGACTCATGTCAAAATGTTATTTATGTTACAGAGATTACCTTATTTCTTGAACTTATTCTTACCTTATTTTCGACTTGCTAGGTACCATAAAAAGAGGCAAGTGAACGAAAATGCTGGTAAGGAAATCCATTTTATTGTATCTGTAACAGCTTAAGTCAGCATCGTCATAGGTCCCCTGGTTCTACTTCTACCAAAGGCCTTCTCTAGCTGTTAAAATAGGATGAAAAACTGATCATCTTACAGGGGTCTTTTGTCTCATTTTGTAACACCCAGAGAAAGCTCTTGTAGAGGATTTTGCAGATCCTAGCTGGCATTAATAAGATTTCTAACCCGAACCCGTAACAGCTAAATTTCTAGTTTGTTGTGTTGTTACGTGTTTACCTTCCCTCGGGTACTGCAATGGTATACCACGTATAAAAACTACACTCTCTCCTACGCTCTGCCTACGCTCTGATTTTTCCCTAGATATTAACAGATATTTCTCTGGCTAATTCATGACTCGATTCTCCATTGTGACAAAAAATGTACATAATTAAAGGGATAACAACTCTTCATATGAGATTCCAAATTCCACGATAAATTAATTGTTTTAACAAAACAAAACATAGAAATAAGTTCTGTGTTACCACCAAAATTATTATGAAATCTGTGCTTGCCATAGGACCACATGGACCTTCATAGATGGCTTCCCTCCTTAATAATATCTTTACTGATTATTACCAAAAGACGCTTAAAAAACAATCGAATAAATTTAAAACGGAACGGAACGGATTCGATTGGAAAGTATGCAAAACTTGTCGTTTACCACTTTTCCCGCCAAAATGAAGATATGTTATCCTTTTAATCTGCGACCCATGTGGAGTGTAACTCCCTCCTAATTTGTGCATCTAATAAATTTGTTGTTTTTTTTTAACCGGAAGGTATCAAATCGAGTTTCTCTCCTGATTTTTAATGAAGACAATAACATCCTATCCACGGTAATGAGTTTTAACAATATCTCCCACATTTTCCACACAAATACCTGGATAGCTGTACAAATGCATGTACAGTATGTTCCCAGGTGGCCACACTTGTCTCTCCAAATTAAGTCTCTGCTTTGATAATATATTGAAAAAACTTAATAACTATATCAACACTATATCAACGAACAATTCTTGATGCCCGAAACTTGCTGATGGTGTGTCAATAAATTATTTCCCTTCCAGGGAATTATTATTGGATATAACGTAATAAAACCTTTTTTCGGTACAATAGCACACAGAGCTTAAGGCAGATAGTTCTTTTTCCGTATCCGCTTATCTGAGATAAAAATGTTACAGCAAAAGTACATCGGGGCGAATTTGTTAATTCAAGCTGATGAAGTAACAGCGGCGTTTTTGTGATGAAATTGTGTTTTCGAACTCAATCAATCTCCCTCACCTGAACAGCTACATTGTATCAACACCGTTTTAACGACTATTTAATCACAACTATAAGTACTACTTTTCTTGGCAGGGGTCAATTTTTGAAATGCTTACTTCTGATATATCAGTTTAAGCAGGCGAAGTAATAGGCCTACCTTTGTTTGATGGAACATCGTACATGTAATTGGGGGCTCATATCTCATAAAAAAAATCAAAATTAAACAAACGCTGGAAACGAATGTTAAGATTCCAAGTTACTTTGTTGACCGAATTTTAGGGGGGTGGAAGCGAGGTTGGATGCAACGGCAGGCCACAATGAGCGGTAACAATCAATATAATTCTATTCGGTTGAGCGAAGTGAATAAGAATGGAATTATTTTCTCCTAGGGGGCGACACTGTATATATATTGTGTTAGTTGTGATATTGGTAAGAATTGTGGGTAAGTTACGACAGTTGTTCATTCGACCAGTTAGCGCAGACCAGTTGACACGTAAATTTTTATTTTTCAAATTTTGTTTATGGTTTTGTTGTTTTAATTTGATTAGTACATGTGATTCACTTTGTTTTATAACTATATTGGTTATTGCTGCAGTGGCTTATTTTATTTTATTCAATGTTTTTGTTTTCAAAATAAGTAGGCCTATAGTGTATGTTGTGTTAGAGTGTAGGCGTACAGTGTGCATGGGTGCGTGTTTGGAGGTGCAATTTATGTTTATTAATATATTAATTTAATGATTGATTTATATGAGCTGTTTGGGAGGTAGTTTTGCACTTGTGCAGTGGAGAGATGAGTTCGGAGTAGGTGTTTGGGAGGTGGTCTCTGGTGATTTCCTATGTATGGGAGAAATGAGATCGGAAGTGCTTGGGTTGTGATATTCTGTTAAATCCCTATGTAAGGGAAAGATGAACTCGGGAGAGCTGTTGGGATGTTATATCCTTATGATTCCCTAAAAAGGGAAAGGTGAGCTTGGAAGAGCTGTTTGGATGTGATATCCTGGTGATTCCCTTTGTAAAGGAAAGATGAGCTCGAAAGAGCTGTTTGGGATGTGATATCCCGGTGATTCTCTAGGTAAGGGAAAGATGAGCTCGGAAGAGCTGTTTGGGATGTGATATCCCGGTAATTCCCTAGGTAAGGGAAAGATGAGCTCGGAAGAGCTGTTTGGGATGTGATATCCTGGTGATTCCCTAGGTAAGGGAAAGATGATCTAGGAAGAGCTGTTTGGGATGTGATATCCCTGTGATTCCCTAGTTAAGGGAAAGATGAGCTCGGAAGAGCTGTTGGGATGTGATATCCCGGTGATTCCCTAGGTAAGGGAAAGATGAGCTCAGAAGAGCTGTTAGGGATGTGATATCCCGGTCATTCCTTTTTATATATAAAAGGAAGAGATGATAAAGAGGTTTGGTGAGGAGAGGGTCTCCTCGTGTTTATAATTTATTTATTTAATTATTTATTTATATTGTTTGTAAATGATTGAAGATGGTTTGAAATAAAACTCGTACGCTAACTGCGACCATATGCACTTTATATGTTGTTTGTGTTGTTTTATTATTAATGTTATGCAGTGTCGGTTATAGTCTAGGAGAAGTAGTTCTCTCTCTCTCGCTCTCTCTCTCTCTCCTCAGTTTTATCTCATCTACCACATTTTGTTTGGCAAGACCGCAAAGTTCGTCTTACGTGATGTGCATACAGGTTTCACAAAACGGCTACATCCCCAAAAACTCATCTTAACTTTTAGACCCAAATTTTGATCTACCTCGTTACAAGATAAATACATAGTAGTATGAATCTGAAATATTATGACACCATTCAGTAAGTGACACCATTAACAGTGAAAACCTTCATGGAGACAATTACAACTTTGGTCGAGGGGATAAGTTAAAAGATCAAGGGAAAGAGATAAGCGGTTTTTTAACATTCAGTTTCAATCTCAACTGAGAATAGGTTCCCATGGCTATATTGATCCAACAGGATAGGTCTAACTCCATGGGGATTCTGTCACGCCTACCGAATCAGCTAGGGGGTAATGAACTTTTAGTAGTTAATTACCCCCTAACAGCTTTAGTAGGCGTGACAGACATTTAAGCCGCTTAATAGCAATTTAGTGAGAATCCCCTTGGAGATAGATCGATCCAATGTTAGTACTCTGGGAATGGTCCCTTAGTGGGCTTCAGCCTTAGTCGGCTTTGACTCTAGCTCTAAGGGACCATTCCCACAGATATTTGGATCGATCTATCTCCCTGGGGAGTCTCACTAAATTGCTGTCAAACTAACACCCCATTTCCATAGATTTTTAGATCGATCTATCCCTGTGGGGAGTCTCACTAGATTACTGTCAGCTTGGCCGGCTTAAGCGTCTGTCCCGCCTACTAAAAGCTATAAGGGGGTAATTATCTTTGCCCCTAGCTGATTCGGTAGGCGTGCCAGACATTTAAGTCTCTTGAGCTGATAGCAATTTAGCGTGAACCCCCAGGGAGTTAGGTCGATCCAGATGGATCGATCTAAGTATGGGAACCCAGTCTACAGTCTACCCAATCTGACTCGATGAAATATTGCTGTGAAAACAGGCCCGAGGTGTTCGGTTGCTTTTACCCGTATTACTGCATTAGTAGCAGCTGGCTAAGATGTGGGTCAGTCTGGATTTCCTAGCAGTTACCGCCCGCGACAACGTATAAAACCTTAATAATTCATATGGCGATAAAGATGTGTAAAACCCGTATTAATGCTTTAATTTCTGTGATATGTAGGTCTTACTTTGTTAATGGCCATCATTTCGGGCACACCAGATCTGTCCTGATTTAAGAATAAATTGAAGCATTTCCACAAGTAAAAACTAATAAAACTGCTAAACTTATGTATGTAAATATTTATTTTCTCCTTAATTCGTCTCATAGTCACATACATCCAATTTCAGAACTGACAATAACTGTTGCGACGAGAGAAAGGTTTCCTCTTGTTATATGAACACACAGTTGATGACGCGCTCTGCGGTGGAAAAAAAAAGGCTACCCTCCCTAGTGGCGGTGAAACGATTGTGTAACGTGACCGAAAAAGACTTTGCATCAATTAAATTCGGTAGTAGTATATTTTTGCACCAAAAGGTATCAGATCGTCTTTCTGTCATGTTTTTCAATAGTACACATACACTGTAACATCAACCTTAGTGATATTGTCTATATTTTCCCCACAAATACCTGGCTAGATGTACAGGTATGAATTCAGGAGACGACTCCAAACCTGTATTTTGTAAATAAGTTGAAAATATAAATAAATAGACCATCACTAAATAATTTCACCAGCATTAATATTATTACATCAAATGTACAATTCGCGTTGCCTGAAACATGCTAATGTTGTGTCAGTGCTCCAGTCTATGTTAAGCAATAGAATTATAAATTTGATGTAACGATATACCGCTATCATTTTCAGTACAATAGCGCACAGACCTTAAGGGACTACAATATATGCCAAAAGATCACTTGGGTTGACTGTGCAGGCGTCAAATGTAGCGGTAAATCCAATATCTAGCTTGTCTGCATCTACGCCAGACTGCGTGAAAATATACTTGTATTGGGCGTGGTCGGTGCTGTTGCCCACCTCTTCTGCATGCCACACCTAAAAAAGTGTTACATGTTAGGAACTGAAGTTACTTTCACGTTGCTCGAATAAAATAATAGTAACGTCAAGTGAGTTTAAATGTCACATTAAAAAATGCTACCTGCCAGTAAATGCGGTTACTTCGACGTTGGTTGTATGACGGTTACGCGATTCTTAGTAGTCAGGATATTTGACGAGAGAGAGATCGAGTGAGAGAGAGACTTACAATCATTGCCTGAGCTGCACATGGGAATTTCACGATAACTTGGAAATCATCTGGTTTGGGATTTGGCAGTATCAACTCGACATTCATTCCCGTGTCCCACACACTGTCGAACTTGATCTGTAATTCTGAAACGGATAAAAAATATTGTATCATATATCGTTCGATAGAAAATCTTCTTTCCGAAACATATTTTACTTTAATTTACACTCACTGGGTGAAAAACGTAAAGAAGGCTTGTAGGTATTCTTACTATTTAATTACATAAATTCCTCTTATTTTTTATATGAAAGGCCCCGTTGAACCGAATTTTTACCTGGTTCCGCCGACAGTGAGTTAACGGCGCAGGTAGTAGGTTCACAGTTGCATTCCCTCTCTTCATCCAGGCCCGGACAGGTAGCACCTCCATTTTCAGGGGCCGGGTTGTTACACATGCGGATTCGAACGCGCTCCTTTGAAGAAGAAGTTCACATTTAACCACGTATCACATTTTCGAATTCATTATATAACAATGCAATTACTACTATCAAAGTTAGTTTAAAATGTATGGGATATAAAAAATTCGAGTACACATAAGGACGAAACACGCTTCGAATACTCAAACGAAAATTTAAGTTATCCGCAGTAAATATAATCTTAAGGCAAATTTAGCACATCATTTTCAGATAAAGGTGGGAGATGATACTCACTCCACCTCCGCAAGTCACGGAGCATGCACTCCATTGGCTCCAATCGCCCCAGTTGCCATTAATTGGTGCTGGCGTAGTTTCACCTGGTGCAAGCGTGGTGGCACCAGGTGGCTTGTATGGGCCATAACCATCCACTTCCACCCGTACCCCAGCAATGTTATCTAAATAAACACAATTAATTGAATAAAAATTGAATTTCATTAAATTTTAATATTGTACATGTAATACATGGCATGTAGAGTTACATTGTTTTATATTTTTATGTGTAAGTTTAAAAACAATTTCAACGGTAATGATTCTTACATTTTCATTCGAATGTCTGTAAGGTACCATGCGCCTATCCGAACTTCATATGTAACTTTAAGCCCTCTGGCACATTTGATCAAAACGTATGCTTTATTGATAGGTTCGCCGTTTAATATTATATTTCCCAGAGCATCTTACTATAGAATCATTTTATTAATTGAATCGGAATACAGCAAAGCCATCTATTGATAAATCATGTAGTATTTTACTTGTCTGTTTCTTATTTTCCCCATATTATGTCAGTTTCTTTTATTGTTTTTTTTCTACCTGGATCTCTTGTTGGCTGATTTCTGCCCTGGTAGATAGAATCTCTGTCTGCCTTGGTGGCAACCACCTCCGCCTCCCAACACCCACTGTAAAAGCTTCCCTGGTTGAATTCCCACAGCCACATGAACGAGTAGGTACCTAGAAATAAGTTATTGGATATAGAATCCCATGTTTTACTCGGAAGTGTGTGCTTTTTTTTCTTAGAATCGCGGGGGTTCGATGTGTTAGGATTTTCTCTTAATTGATAATGCGGAAATAAATTTGTCATGTTATAAGATATTGTTAATTGTCACATCAAACATACACTAGCGTGAATTCGCTTATTTGAGCTGATGACGTAACAACAGGCTTTTTGGGTGAAAACTGGAATATCGATTTCAAACAGCCCCTCTAGCCTGAACAGCCATTAAAACCGTCTAATGCCTCTTTAATCACAACAGTAAATACTGCAAGCCTTTATCTCATAGATAATCGTAAAACCTATATACCCAAATGCTGGCCTTGATAACCTATATATGGAACCCCCTTAAGCTTAAAAATGTTTTCATTGAATAGGGTTTTCCTGAAAAGATTCGGGATCAGATAACTGTTAGCTAAGGGAATTCTGTCCTTATATGCTTTCTCTTAGAAAATATGTAACAGTGTTGCATACTGAGAAAACACATTAAAACAGACCCGGTTTTTTTCATAATGTGATTTCTTCTAAAGAAACGAAGTAAGAAGACAACTCCATACCTGGTGGCATTTCTGGGAAATCGAATGCGTATGTAGCCAGCGCCTTGTCAGTTCCAGGAGGCTCGCAGAATTTTGGGGCGTTTTGAAATCCCTTCTTAGGGTACGTTGTTATAGCGGCACCCTGTCCTGTTGGCGCAACACCGAAGTCCACGAGCAAATATGAGTCGCTTCTGTAGGTGGATAACGTGGGGTCGGTGCCGGTTTCGCCAGTGGGGTAAAAGTATATCCAGTTCCCGTTGTCTGGGATAAATGGGTTTGTGCAAGTGTCGGCAACATGGTTCTGTAACAATTGAGAAAAAAATGACTGTGCATAAATATGTATGAAATGCCTAAAACAAATTAAGTCTGAATAGAATTCGAAGTTGAAAAAATTGTGAGATAAAAGATAGGGCCTACGTTTATTCAACAACCCAGACATTTATCTACCAACTGACATGACAAACGTAGAACAACTCTCTGGCGCAGTTTGTAGTATGAAGGTGAAGAATGATGGACCCCCCGTTCCCATTCTTGCCGTAATCAGATCAGATCGTCGGTGTCATATGCAACAGCGCCCTGGCATTTTGAAGATTTCCTTTGTTACCGCAACAGTCTCACGATTTCATGCACCATGGCTTGCCCTTTGGGATCGTCTTTCAATTTTACGCATCAAGGCTATTTCGGCAGCTTATTTGTTGCTAACAATAACCATTATAATCATTTTCGCTTATAATCATGTATACCCAAGAAGATTCGTCGGCTTATTTCATACAATGAGAAGTAGTACAAACCAGACTAGTTGACAACTTTTTCCTTGCCAACAATGAACACTAATATGAAAACGTGACAGATAAATGATAAGCAGTACAAATCTTAAAGACGTGCAATTCGCATTAGTATATATATATATATATATATATATATATATATAGAGAGAGAGAGAGAGAGAGAGAGAGAGAGAGCAAAAAAAATCTTGGTAGTTGTAAATTTCAGCGATTTTCCTTTTCAACCAATGTTCTGGTGCTCTGACTTCGCTCTGGCGACAGAAATTGTAATAGAAAAAATGATAATGGATTTTAGTAATTTGTTATTGGAACAAGGAAATATGGCTAAGCCGTAAATGATAAGGTTCGACAATTTTCACTAACCTTGGTCGGGTGAGCGATGACCACTCGTTGGCCAGGGTAGTAGACAGCCCGGGGGTAGTCCGAGTTGTAGTTCGCGCCATCATTTCTCTCCGTGATGCACGCCTGGGCTTCTGTCGGCTGGTGATTGAAGCCGCGATCGGTGCCAAAAGGAACTGTTAGAAAAATATAAAGAAAATAGTAAATGATAACTGGAAAACATTTTGAAAGCTTTATATACAATATACGAATAAGTTGGTCAGCTGACGATCGCTGCATTGAATCTCATGGTTTCTTTTCACTGATTGACCATGCTGATTAAAAAAAATTAGCCTACCAATTATTTTACTGGAAGAATTATATATGCATTCGTTGATAAGTATCATAGGTAGTCATAATCTTCGGTTATACACTTTATACATACCTATTAAAAACAACGCCCCAACCCAAAGAAATCAGAAGAGGCGCCGAGAAACTATTCGCTGTTAATAGTTAAAATGGGGAGATTCGTTTCTTTTTATAGGTAAAAGATAAGTATAACATGTAATTGAACTTACTGTCTTTTGGGGCATAAAACGGATACGCCCCTCTGGGATACGCTCTGCATAGATCATGGCTATAAAAATGTCCGTTCTCCTCTAAGTAGTCTACACATGTTAACCAGGAGTGAGAATTCACTGTGGCCAAAAACCAGCCTAATACAATACAGTTTGACAGTAGAGACATGCTGTAACTCTTTTACTAGTTCCTTCTTTTCACGTTAAGTCTACAAAATCATTTTCCTTGCACCTTTTTATACTATTTTCACCGGGTCAGCTTATTGTGATTTGTGACGTAGAATTGTGACGTGATAGTGTTTGGTCAGATTTGTTGCTTGAGTGATGCGGGAAGTTGGACAGCATTGTACACTGTGCCACAGGTAAAATCGCTGGTCCTTCCTTATTACGTATTTGTCTGGAAAATACGTGCGTCAATGTGAACGACCACCAAGACTTACAAGCAGACAAGTATCAAAAAAAAAAAAAAAAAAAGAGTGAGAGAGAGAGAGAGAAAGAAAGAGAGAGTCACGGGAAAATCTTCCTGGGGGAGGGGTCACCAATTTTAATATTTAAAGATTTTTAATATTTAAATATCTAAAATGTTGTGATTTTAAAAGAAACGCTCATTTTAGAAATTGTGCCTTTAATTACAGGAGTTAAAAGAAATAACGTATAAAAATCTTCAAATGGTAAAGAGGTTGTTGATAAAAAAGTATATGTTATGTTGAAAGATGGGTTCGTTGTGTTAACAGCGGGGGATGAGGGTGATGCCACTCTACCATCCGTCCTTCAATAAGCAAAAGATGTTATTTTGTTACCCCCCCCCCCCCCCCTTTGTGACATATTGACCCAGGAAAGGTTTTCAGACAACACCTTCCCAATTCAACCAGCATAAAGATAGTGACCGATTGGCTATGAGGGCTAATGCCGCCCGTTGGACAGGACTGTTACGTCGTACGCCGTCTTGCGTAACTATAACAACATGGGGGACGCCACGAACCGTAATAACTGCCTGTTTGTCTCCGTGATCTAGTTTTCCTCCGACGGACAACTGGTGACGTTAATGCATTTTCTATTATTTAAAATCCCAAAATAAATTGACGCTGCTCACGTAGTAATGACAGAGTAGAGTGAAATGATGGCCTCGAATTTGGCCCCCAAATTATCTGATTTATACAGTTGTCGATTTTATCTAGCATTCGTCACGGGTTTTCTGTCTACCACCATCGTCACTACTGGATCACGTGATAAACGTTAACGATGGCACGTCAAGTGTTGATTTTGTATTATGCAAAATACCATACTCCGCAATAGTAGGCCTAGGTCTGTGGCCATGAACTTTTCACACCTACAGTGTATAAAGCACCTAGTCATCTTGACATGTAAACGTGCCACTGACGAGTTAAAATCTCCACAGCAACTTTCATCAGTCAGAAAAATTAAGATGATTACAGAAAGTCACCAAAAGAAGCTCGTCCAAGTGAAAAGTGAAGCATTGGCAATATCTGTCCATGAAGAATTTACTTCTAGAGAAGACAGATGTACACTTTATGATGTAACAGCACCGACATGCACGTGCGACACCCGGAGATACATAGTCCTAATTACCCGTATTTTAGTTTTAGCTAAACTGTTTTTAACTCCCAGACAATAACTGCTGTTTTTCTTTTATCAGGAGCAAGCATTATTTATTCCACGAAAATCTATGTCAGTTTTCTTTTCATTTATTTATTTTTTTCGCACTTTACTATCAAATCCGCAAATAACCGGGATTGTGGAGTGCAATGTCCAATACCCCCCCAAACACTATTAAAATTATTTAACCCTCCCGCTCCGTTTAAAAAAATGATTTTGGAGTGGGGCAAGTAGATTTTCAGACATGCTTGCCCGCAAGGCAATTAATTGAAAATGCACTAGTCATACTAGATGTCTATGGTTTATGGTTTTACCGGTCATCCTTCTCCATTCTTCCGCCTGTGCAGCTCTTAACTAAATGACGGTGATAGGCTGTGGCTGGTGTTTATGAAGTCGTCTGCCCAGTTCATCCCAGGCATGCTCAATGGGAGACATTTCTGGTTTAAATAAGAAGAGTCTGGATTTGCTCCTGCTGCAGGTACGCCTGTGCTACCCTGGCAGTATTGGGACGGGCGTTGTCCTGCTGGAGCAAGCGTAGAGTTGGGTATTGGTGCATGAATGCCACAATCACCACGAGTTCTGTTTGGAAATTGCCACTGATGTCAATCACATGTTTTTCTTGTAAATAATAACATGACAGCTGTAAACCGCTTAAATCTATTTTATTCATAGACCATGACTTGCGGTACAGAAAAACAAAATACAGGTGTAGATATCTATATCTTTTATTCAAGTATGTAACATGTACCGACCCCCCCCCCCCCCATCTGATGTTCTACGGTGATTTCCATAGAGGTAAAAGTGTTCATAAAATTGAAAAGAAACCGTCAAATGTCACCAAATGTATACACTATTTGCATTAAATTGCGCTGTTTTCAAAATCATATGTCTAATAGTGTGTTTTACTGCTCACTGAAACTATATCCTGTAGGTGGCGCTGCTATGCTTCCATTAAGTTACCTCCGACAGGGGTCTATGTAGTTTGTAACAGAATTTACTAGACATTTATTACGTTTCGTAACAAACTACAGGAACTAATGGCGGGGTATTCATTAAGGGTCACTGATATGTTTTGTGTGATACTCTTCAATTCTTTCCGGGCAGCTTGACGGAGGTGGTCCAGATTATTCACCCCAAAAGTAAAGCTTTCAAAGCTATCATATCTGCCAAATTTGTGTTTTGAACTTCAAATAATCATTTAAGCGTCCCCTTGGCCATGCTTCAGTATGTCTTAGCTTCGTTGCGGAGATAAGTAACAATACATTATTAATTGGCTCTCGCACCTTCAACCTAAAGTATATGCTTAGACTTATGCAGCCTACTTACGTCATATGAAGTCTTAGTTACAGTCAGAAGTTGAAGCTAGGCTCTTGGCATTTAATAAAAAGCCTCCGAAGAAAAATGAGCAACGTGAGAACTAGAATACTTGAGTAAGAACCCCTGTACATGTATCTTAGTTCAACAGCAAATTATTACGCCAAAGACCGCACACACATGAAACCTGCGCTAGTTCGCCGGCATGCCTTTGTTCCCCCGTCGTTACATCTGCCAGCACATCCAGACAGCGGGTTACAGGGCACGCCCAGACCGCTACACCACACTTGAAGACAGCGGAAACCCAGCGCACGTGTTGGAAGACATGATTTGTGCGAGCTACGGGAAGCATTGCAAATACCGCTGCAGTCACCAGAAAAAGGCTCGCATCTTTTTCGTAGTCCTTCACATGGAATCTGAAATGTTGAAGTGTATAATAAGTATCAACTTAGTGTTAAGTGGTCCCAGTGTGGAGGCAGGGATATGCGAGCCAACACTTAGTTATAGATGTATTTCATATCCTATATTTCTATTTCATATATGTTATTCTTTTTTTGAAAAGTTTCGAGTTTCTGCTGCGTTCTGCATGGCTGACTCCGATGACGTCATTGTTCCACCTCGTTAATCGTAATATATTGTCAATTTTGTGCTTGATTTACATTTTCACATGTGTATTTTTCGTACTAAAAGCGGTTTGTTCGTGTTTAACAGCTTCAATCATTGCTTTTCTTGTACCGTTAGCTTTAGTGCAATAACAAGAACGTTGACGTGCACAAAGACAGACAAAACTTTGATTGCACACCTTTCAAAATGCATTTTGTTCAGTCATCTGCTCGTTAATGTTGATCTATATATGACTTTTATCGTAGAATATGACATCATTAGAATAGACAGCATCCAGTAGGTAGTCAAAATACTGACAATGATAAGTTAACAAACGTGATCGAATGTCCAGAATGTGCACGCCAGCAGTTCTCGGTGGTAACACGGTCAAATATAATGCAATTAGTTGCTCTGTCGAAACTGTCTTTATCGAAGCAAAATATCTTGTTCCAGAAAACGATCCAGGCTGTCCTTTCTCTGTTGTAGACAAGCGTAAATGCTAGATCATAGTAAAATATCTCTCTCCCATATTGACATCACAGATTACATCATTTATGTGTGATGTATATGCCACTCATAGTGTCCGTCAAGGTTTTCTTTTCTTTTTTTCCTTTTTTTGACTTAAACGTTCACACGTTCAAGGACAAGGTATCTGAATATCTTTTTTTGTATTATCTATCTATCTATCTATCTATCTATCTATCTTACTGTTTCCGCGTCATAAGGCAACCAATATTCCTATCCGGAAAGGTCCATAGAGTACGAAAGTAAAGCCACTTTTTTAAAAAAAACATCGCATAGTGAACAGTTGCCGTAAAATAATATCAATGGTTATTTTATAATGTTTTGAATGGAGTAAAAGTATTAATTGGATAGTATTAAAATTCAATTTTTCACAAATTGATTAGGGTGCCTCACAGTTGGCGTTGCCGCCCTAATAAGCCTTTACTGCGAGTGCTGCCTGCATTGTTTTTGTTTTCTAAGAAAATCAAGATGTGTGACTGATTACAATAATTAAGCATACATATATATCTGTTGTCTTCAAACAGCAAAGCTGGATAGATTGTAACTAGCATCGAGATAAAAGATACTTCTGATAACAAGACATGACAAAGAGTTTTGGTCAACCTAGAAAACGTTTTTTTAAAACTAAATGTGAGAAACATAGCAACAGACAAAAAAGACTGCAAAATACGTGATGAAAAATTAAAATAATTAGGTAATTGATTAACCAACAATTCTCTCCTTCAAAGAACGAGAGCTGTACATTCTAGTTAAAACTGGAGAGTGGTGTTAGTGATGCACCCACCTGAGGATAAAGCCGAATGCTGTATCTCTTCTGATTCTCTTGGCCTACTTTAGATCCAATTAAACTATGGATCATCACATATAATGACTGGTTTTTCATATTGTCCAAATTTTCTCTTTCCTCATGTTCAACAGACAAACACCATGCCGCTGCACAAATGACCATTAAGAAGTTCAGCCTTCGAAAGAGTCCAAGATAAACTTGAACCATTCTGTCTGGTGGCACTTGCGCACATGGATTCATTATTCTCTGATCTAGGAGACGTCTCACGTTCTTGGGTATGGAACCCAGTCATATATATATATAGCTGCACAAAGAGGCAAAAGTTTACTGCGATTCATAGCGTGATGACATCTTGACTTGGCTGTTTCATGTGTTCATGAAAAGCTTTGTGATGAAGTGTTTTGACTCGGATCCCAGATTAAG